AGTTCTGGGCTAATGGAGAGTCCAGGGACCATGTCTTCCACGGTCCCTCCAGTCTCAGTCAGACCATTAAGTCTGGTCTTCTTATTAGAATTTGAGGTCTGCACCCCACTTTTCTCCTGCTTCGTCAGGGACTCTCTGTTGTGTTCCCTGTCAGGGTGGTCATTGGTGGTAGCTGGGCACCATCTAGTTCTTCTGGTCTCAGGCCGATAGAGTCTCTGGTTTATGTGTCCCTTTCTGTCTCTTGGACTAATATTTTCCTTGTGTCTTTGGTATTCTTCATTCTCTTTGCTCCAGGTGGGTTGGGACCAGTTGATGGATCTTTGATGGCCGCTTGCTAGCTTTTAAGACCCCAGACACCACTCACCAAAGTGGGATGCAGAACATTTTCTTAATAAATTTGGTTATGCCAGTTCACCTAGATGTCCCCCGAAAGCATGGTCCCCAGACCCGCACCTCTGCTACTCTGTCCCTCGACGTGTTTGGTTGTATTCAGGAAACTTCTTAGCTTTTGGTTTAGTCCAGTTGTGCTCACTTCCCGTGTATTGTGTTGTCTTTCCCTTCACCTACATTCTTATCTAGTATCTAGTTAGTGAATACCCCTTTCCCTCCCTCCCCGCCCTCGTAACCACCAAAGAATGTTTTCTTCTGTGTTTAAACCATTTCTTGAATTCTTATAGTAGTGGTCTCATACAATATTTGTCCTTTTACGACCGACTAATTTTACTCAGCATAATGCCTTCTGGATTCATCCACGTTACGAGATTTTTCGCAGATTCATCATTGTTCTTTATTGTTGTGTATTATTCCATTGTGTGAATATACCATAATTTATCCATTTGTCTGTTGATAGACACCTAGGTTTTTTCCATCTTTTTGCTACTGTGAACAGTGAACAGCCAAACTCTTAACCACTGTGCCACTGGGGTTTCCCATTTTGATATATTAGACTAAATAAAATACTAATATTCACCTTTTTTAAATTGGGATGAAATTTACTGTACATAAAATTTAACATTTAGCCATTTAAATTGTACAATTCAGTAGATCTATTATATTCACATTGTTGTGTAATCATCACTAGCATCCAATTCCAGAACACCTTCATCACCTCAGAAAGGAACCTTGTGCCCATTAGCAGTTCCCCCTCCCACCTTAACCCTAGGCAACTACTAATCTACCTTCTGTCCCTATAGATTTGCCTATTCTGGACATGTCATATAATGGAATCATACAATACGTGATCTTTTGTGCCTAGCTTCTTTTACTTAGTGTAGTGTTTTCAAGGTTCATCAACATTGTGCCGTATATAGTACTTCACTTGTTTTATATTGCTGAATAATATTTCATTGTATGCATATACCACATTTTGTTTTATCTGTTCATCAGTTGAACATTTGTGTTGTTTTCTCTTTTTGGCTATTATGAATAATGCTGCTATAAACATTCACGTTCAGGTTTTTATGTGAATGTTTATTTTCAGTTTTCTTGTGTATATACCTAGGAGTGGGATTACTAGGTCGTATGGTGACTCTCAGGAGCCCTGGTGGTACGACAGTTATGTACTCAGCTGCTAACCTAAAGGTTGACGGTTTGAACCCACCCAGTGGCTTTTTGGGAGAAAAGACCTGATGATCTGCTCCCATAAAGATTACAGCCTAGAAAACCCTATGAAGCAGTTCTGCTCTGTCACATGGGGTCGCTATTAGTCAAAATTGATTCCACGGCACCCAACAACAACGCGGTAACTCTGTGTTTAACTTTCTGAGGACCCACCATACTTCTCCACAGCTGCTGCAGCGTTTTACTGTCTCATCAGCAGTATATGAGGGTTCCAGTTTCTCCACATCCTTGTCAACACTTGTTATTTTCCTTTTTTTTTTTGATAATAACCATCCTAGTGGGGATGAAGTGTCATCTCATTGTGGTTTTGATTTGTATTTCCCTAATGGCTAATGATGTTGAGTGTCTTTTCTTGTGCTTATTGGCCATTTGTATATAGGGGAAAATGACTGTTTAGAGTAGGATATATAATTTGTTTAAAAATAATTTTGTTTAATGGAAATTTTTTTTAACTATATTGAGCCCAAGAAGAAGCTAGAAAGCATTTTCATAGTTTTCCTGAAAATGATTCAATAAGATTTTCTATGAATATAAAACTGCATATAAAATATCTTGATGGCATTTTATGATCCTTTTTTCATTTTCTTAAATGGGGACTATATTTTTTCATACATAAATAAGTACATAGGGACGATAACTAAAATGTATTTTCTTTGGAAAAATAAAGTCCCATGAGAGACAAATATCTTCAGACATTTCAAACTGCAGCAGTCTCTAAAACCTCAGATAGTTGAGAATTCTAATATGGATTTATTTTGGGGAGAGGTAAGTGGAATGGTTGGAGGAGAGGCCATAATTTTTGTAGAAATGATTTACCCAGGATACAGCAGCATTCTAGACAGTCAGTGTGTGATCATGCAGTATTCCGTTTTTCCTTTTTGTTTTAGCATTAGTGTTCAGAGGGAAGGTAGTGGAGATTTCATCAGCTCACTTTTATTGCTAAACATGAAGCTTTGTGTGCTCGCAGGGTTTTGTTTTTGTTTTGTTTTGTTTTTGTAATTTAGAGATTAGCACATTTTGTTTAACTCATGAAATGTTTATCTTTGAGAAGTAGGGAGAGGCGAGTGACTGAGGGCTGATCATGGACCAGCCCTGGCTCCGTTGCCCAGGATCTCTCTCCTCAGGGCGTTAATTAGGGTTTCTTTTTGTTCTGGGTTTCATCCCTGACTCTCCCTTCTCCCGCCATGTTGGCATTTAATATCCTGGTGAGTTTGTGGGAATCTTGGGTGGAGTTGGGAGGGGCACGGTGTTCCTCTCCCCTAGCACGGGCTAATCTGTGTCACCCCACACCTCTCCAGTCTGCTTTCCCTAAACCTTCTAGTGCGTCTCTTATTATGCTACCTGTTAATTTATGTCTTCTTAATTGAATTTCTGTAGGCTTCTTTTCTGTGTAGAGGGAGTTGTGAGCTTTGTAAACCTGATTCCCCACTGTACATATAAGTCCTGCTTTCAGTTCCGGTTCTCTACCCTCCCCTGCCCCCAGAATCCTTGTAAACACTCTGCTCCTGATAATGTCTCCCTGAGAGATTAATTTTACAGATCTTGTCACCATGACTTCTTTCCCGTGGTGCCAGGAAATGTTCTAGTCCTCAGATCTCCTTAAATAAACACCTGTGGTTCATTTTGGCCAGATTTCATTTCTTGGAGTACATCCTTGTAGTCATAAAACCACTTATATCCGTCCTGCCCAAAGAAAGAGGGCTGGACAGAGAGGTCAGAGGGGAAATCAGAGGCACAGAAACAGAAGGTGGCATGGTTGTCATTGTCCCCACTGGCCAGGAACAGGAAGCATGTCGAGTGGTAGAGTGTTTTGCAAATTGTACGGACTGTGACGCAGTAAGATACTCACATTACAGCTCAGTACACGTATATGCTGTGTGCGTGCATGTGTGCTCACAAAACAACACTCACCTGTGTGATTCACTTGAATATTTAATATTGTATTTCGCTCTTTCCTGGGTTTTTGTTTGGTTAAGCGCTGGGTGGAGTCCACTAAATGGGTGGCCTACTCGGATTTTGTCCCTGATTTGGCCAGTAGTGATGAAGAGCATGTACCTGTCAGGCCTGAGTTTTAGCTTTGCCTCTTAGTGGCCATGTGACTTTGAGCCAGTGAGGTGATCTGTGCCTCAGTTTCCTTTTCCCTCACCTGGGCCAATATACTGCCCGTTTCGTACCGTCATTATGCTTAGATCAGCACCCGGCATAAAGTAACTGTTGAGTTTGTATTGGCTGGCTGTTAGACTTCACCCTTAGTTTTAGGACTTTTCACTTTGTTCTTGTTATCTTGAGTCAGGTGTTGCTTCTTCCCTCTTTTGTCGTTGACTTTCCTAACTTTGTGTAATGATCGGTGTGTTATACTCTCTACTGGTTCCTTAGAACTGCTGTAACAAAGTGTCACAATCTGAGAGGCTTATAAAAACAGAAAAAATGTATTCTCACAGTTCTGGAGGCTGAGAGTCTGAGATCAGGGTGTCGGCCTTGTTGGTTCCTTCTGAGGGCTCTGAATGAATCTGCTCCATGCCTCTTTCCTAGCTTCTGGTGACGACCCACAGTCCTTGGTGTTCCCGTCTCTGCCTCCATCTGCACACTGCTCTCTTCCCTCTGTGTCGCTTCTCTTTTATAAGGACACTACTCATACTGGTTTAAGACCCACCCTACTCCAGTATGACCTCATGTTTACTGATAACATCTTCAAAGATCCTATTTCCAAACACGGTCGTGTTCACGGTACCAGGGATTGGACTTGAACGTATCTTTTAGGGGGACACAGTTCAATCCATGACGACACATCCTGCAAGCTTACAGACTCTGTGGAGGGAAGAGGCAAGGCCAGCAAGTAAAATAAGTTGAGGGGTTTCATTGGTGGAGTGACCACTGAATCCCCTTCTCTTTTTTCCCTTGAACCAGCCTGGAGTTCAGAGTTTGACTTCTGGTTGAGGATGTGACTGTCTTTGAGCTCACCCTGGGAACTTGTGGCCCTGGGGTTCCCATGGAGGTTGCTGATGGAGCCCTCTGGGAGCTGTTTGCGCCTGGGGAGGCAGGGGCAGGAAGCCAGGCTGGCTCAGGCCATTCTTGGAAGACGCGCAGCGTCCTGGATCTGAAATAGAGCCGGTCCTGCTCCCTCCTTCCTCTGTTACAGGCTGGTGGTTGGAAAGCAGATCTGCCAGCATGCGCCTCCTTTACAGACATAGACACTTGATAGTCCAGCCAGAGAGCTGCATGCAGCCTTCCAGGACAGTGGCTGTTGATGGGGAGGGGCTGCACCTTCCAGAAAGAAAGAAGTGTTTTTTTCCCTTTTTCTCCCAACGTGTATATCTTCTCAACTTTCTTTCAAGTTGTCGGGTTGTGGGTGTTTCATTTTGTGCTTCTCTCTCCTGCAGACGGTTTTAGTGAATAACATCACCACCGGAGAGAAGCTCATCAGGACCCTGCAAGGTAAAATCCACCCTTCTGGATACCAGACACTTGGCTGGCCGGAAATGCTCTAAGGTCTTAGGCGGTTCTCTTATTACAACCTGACCATGGGTAGTGTTATGAGTAATTGAGTAGTCTATAGTTTCTGCTTTTTGCCGAAATATATTTCCTTAAAGGTGTTTTTCTTTTAAAAATAATATTGAATAAATATACATTACTAGCTGTTATGTATAGAAGAATTCAGACTCTTATTATGAATACCTTAAATATATGTGGGTATGTGTGTGCATGTGTGTGTATTGTGTGTATATATGTACATGTGTGTGTTGTTGTTACCTGCTGTCCAATCAGGCCCCGACTCATGGCGACCGCATGCACAGTGAAATGAAGTGCTGCCTGGTCCTGCGCCATTCCCACAGTCGGTGTTGGATAGGACCATTGTGATCCATAGGGTTATCATTGGCTGATTTTCGGAAGTAGATTACCAGGCCTTTCTTCCTAGTCCCCCTTAGTCTGGAAACTCCACTGCACTCATAGCAGCTGGCGGATTTGAACTGCGCTTTTTGGTTAGCAGCTGTGACTCTGAGCCACTGCACCACCAGGGCTCCCGTCCCAGGAAGCAACCCCCACAATCAATATAGTGTACATATCCATCATCCCCAGAAGTTTCCTGTGTCCCTTCTGTCACTCTAGATTAGTTTGCATTTTTATATAAATGGGATCTTACAGTATATACTCTTTTTCTCTGGCTTCTTTCGCTTAGCATAATTATTTTGAGATTCATCCTTATTGTTGTGGGTATGAGTAGTTCAGTCTTTCCTTTTTATTACTGTGTGGCAGAGGGTTGAGGAGGGGGAGGAGAGGATGAGAACATGGCCTTTCTCCAGGAATCACTGCACCCCAACCAAGGAAACAGTTTCAGGAGAGCAGGGGCCCTGTATGAGCCTGCATATTTTTATTTTATTTTATTTTAAGCTAGGTTTATTGATGTATCATTTACATAAAGTGAAGCTTACCCTTTGTATGTACAGTTCTGTACGTTTTAACAAATGCGTACTATCACATATACCACCAGTACAATTAAGATAGAGCATGTTTCCATCACTCCCTTCCCACTCCCAGCGTCAGGCAACCCCTGAACTGTTCTCCTTTGCTCTGGTTTTGTCTTTTCCAGGATGCCATATAAATGAAACAATACCATATGTGGCCTTTTGAGGCTGGCTTCTTTCGGCAATAGGTTTTTTTTTTTTTTTTTTAAATTTTATTGTGCTGAAATGTATGTAACAAAAAAGTTTGCCATCATAACCATTTTTTTAGTGTACAGTTGATTGACATTACATTCACCATGTTGTGTTAACATCACCACTGTCCATTTCCACAAGTTTTCCATTGCCCCAAACAGAAGCTCAGTACCCCTTCAGCAGTAACTCCCGCCCCTCCTCCCCGCCAGCCCCTGGTAACCACCTGTTGTCTCTCTGCACCTGCCTCTTCTGGATGTTTCATGTGAGTGGGGTGATAGAGTGTTGTCCTTTGCTGTCTGACTTCTTTCACTCAGTGTCATGTTTTTATGGTTCATCCACGCTGTAGCAGGTATCAATTTAATCTCTCTTTATGGCCGAGTGCTGTTTCATTTTGTGGATGCACCACATTTTGTTCGTCCCTTCATCACTTGGGTTGTTCTCATCTTTTGGCTCAGTAGCAAAATGCTTTTGAGGTTGATCGAAGTTGTTACATGTATCAGTAGTTCACGGACCCCTTCATTCTCTTTAACTTCATTTCTCCCCAAGAGGCTGGTAGGTCCAGGGTTCTGAGGAGAAACCCCGGGGCTGCGGTGTCTGTGCAGGGCCGTGCCTGCCCGCCCCGCTGTCCCCTCTGGCTGCTCGTCCTCTCGTCCCCAGCTTGGCCCTTTGTTCAGCGGCTGCCTTTTCCTTGGAGGTTTTAGGAGCCGAGCCATTAGGGCAGTGTGGATGGGGTGGGTGAGTTTCCTCAAAGAAATCACACTGCTTCCCAGATAGGAGGGCCGGTGATCTAAATGGACACAGGGCCTCAGAGAATAGCTCAACTGTAAATGAAAGGCAGGAGAATAATGCTGGCCTGGGGCCTGGTGGCTGAGGGCAGTGTGTTCCGCCGTGGTGGCTGCTTATCTGACCAAATGTCAGATCAGCACTGCACAGACAGAGGATCAGTCTGCTGGGGGTGGGGACACCGTGGTGTGTGACCTTGTGGGACGCTGGGTTCGTTTTGTCTAAGAAACAGGCGAATAGGACCTCCTAGTGCATTTAAGGGTTGGAGGTCAAAAGGGAGATTTAAGAGAAAAAAACCCGAGACATTTGAGAAAGAATCAAGATGAAGGTTCACATAGAATTGTGAGTCTTCTGGAGGTTCGTGGCAGGAGTGTAGTGATTCCTGGGGAGAGGCTATGTTCTTACTCATCCCTTGCCCCTCTTAATTCCCTTTTGTGTTCCCATGCTTGGGTTTGATGTGTCTGCTGTGTTCAACCACTAACCTAAAGGTTGCCAGTTTGAACACACCCGGCAGTGCTGTGGAAGAAAGGCCTGGCGATCTGCTTCCATAAAGATTGCAGCCAAGAAAAGCCTATGGAGCAGTTCTACTCTGTAACTCATGGAGTTGCAATGAGTCGACACCGAGTCGATGGCAAAGGGTTTATTTTTTGGTTTGCCATTGTTGTGTTTTGGTGAATGGTGTGACAGCCGCGTGGTGACTTGTGCCGTTTCTTGCCCTCCCCTTCCCCAGACCAGCTGAAGGCCCTGGAGAGGGATTATGGCAAACAGCAGCAGGATGTCCTCCAGTTTCAGAAGAACCAGAGCAACCTGGAGAGGAAGTTCTCGTATGACCTGTAAGTGCACCTCAGGATCAAGTCTGTGCCCCACGGGAGGCCAGCATGTTTGAAGCTGAGGGCTCTGGCAGAGTCCAGTGTGATGTCCGCTCACTCTTCTGGTTAGAGCGTGAACCGTCTGGTGCATACAGGGCCCTGGGAGAAAGGTGCCTCCCCTTGAAGGATTCATGGCCTTTAGAAATAAAGAATTTTGTTTAAGTGCCAGCAGTACCCCAGGAAGCCATGGAGAAGTGTTAGCCGGTGGGCTCAGAATACAAAATAAGTACGAAAGGTGCAAACACACACACATGTACTGTGGGCATTTTATTTTCTGAGACGTGTCAGGTGTTTTTCCAGATTTTTTCAGTTGGAATGGAGTACTTTTATAATCAAAACAAAATAATAAACTTTGGAAAAGTGAGCTAAACCTATTAGTAAGGTAGTTAAAACCAGCTTAAAATGAAGGGACAGATGAAGTTGTAGTCTGTGTGGTCTGTATTTTTGCTTTTTTTTCCTCGTAAAAACAATGTAGCTAAAGAATGGGACATTTGGTTTCATAGAGAACCAGCCGTGGGTGAAGCCAGCCCTCAGATGACTGCTCCTTTCACTCTGATTTAATCTCACTTCAGTCCTTGTCTAAGTATATGTGTGGTTTTTACATAATTGAGGATGGTCGTAAAAATGTTTGACTCTTTTTTATTACTAGCCTTATAGATAAAAAAGCTTCATTGTGTTCCAAAATGTTTTATCATAAAAACGGCTGCTTAAAAGTTCATCATGTGTAGGTGCCAGATTTTAATTAACCATGTCCTACTGCTTGATATTTAGGTTGCCTCTAAGTTTTGGTTCCTGTAACTTGCCTGACCCCAATAAAATAAAAACCAAAAACCCATTGCTGTCTAGTCGATTCCAACTCACAGCGACCCTACAGGACAGAGTAGAACTGCCCAACAGGGTTTCCAAGGAGCAGCTGGTGGATTTGAACTGCTGACCTTTTGGTTAGCAGCCAAGCTCTTAACCACTGCACCACCAGGGCTCCCTGACCCCAGTGGCATCATGTATATAACTTTACAAATTATTATTTTGGATTATTCCCTTGTAGAAAAAATTCAACTGTAGGTTTAGTGTTCAGATAGGTAGAAATTGCCAAATTGCTTTCTGAAAGGATTTTACCCTTCTACACTGTCACCAGGGAGCCCTGGTGGTGCAGTGGTTAAAGTACTCAGCTGTTGACTGAAAGGTTGGCAGTTTGAACTCGCCAGCCACTCCACAGGAGAAAGATGTGGCAGTCTGCTTCTGTAAAGATTTACAGCCTTGGAAGTCCTGTGGGAGCAGTTATAGTCTGTCCTATAAGGTTGCTATGATTCGGAATCCACTCGATGGCAGTGGGTTTGGGTACTATCACCAGTGAGGTAGGAGAATAACAGTTTCCCACACCAGTGGCCCACGTAGCGATTCCTTGTGTTCTTCCAGAGATCGTCTTCTAACCCTAATGTCTTCCTGGTCCCTTCAAAGCCAAATATGACTAAAAACATGAAGCCCCAAATACGTAAATGCACAAAGGACAAAAAACAGTCAATACAGAGGAAATATAATTCGAAAGTAAGCGTGCAGAAACTCATTCAGCCAGGCCAGTTCTCAACAGGGGACAGTTCTGTCCCCCAGGGGACATTTGGCAAAGTCTGGAGACATTTTTTGTTGTCACAACTGGGGGAGAGGGTTGCTACTGGCATGTGGTGGGTAGAGGCAAGGGATGCTGCTGAACATCCTACGATGCACAGGACAGTCCTCACCACAGAGAATTATCTGGTCCAAAGTGTCGATTGTGCAAGGTTGAGAAACCCTTAGCTAGGCTAATGATCAAAGAAGTGTATTCAGGCAAAAATGAAACATCCCAGGCTTATTATTCATCTTGAAAAGACACTCCAGCGCAAATATTCCCCCTCCATTGACTGAACTACAAAAAGCTGTCAGTGGCCTCGCTTGTTAAGTGTAGTTGGCCTAGCTCCAGCCCATTGCCCATTGCCACGGAAGGGAGTGGGCTGCTCTCTCCTGGGTCGGGCACGCAGGCGGGGCACATTCCTTTCCTTCCTAGGAGGTTGGTAGCTAGATTGAAAACTCTGGCTGACTGCATTTGTCTCACTAGTTGTGTCCAAGGCTGTCATGAATTGAGCTGTGCCCCAAAGTATGTGTCAACTTGGTTAGGCCATGATTCCCAGTATTGTGTGGTTGTCCTCCATTTTGTGATTATAATTTTTGTATGTGTTGTAAAATCAATCCTAATCTCTGCCGATGGTTAACGAAGCAAGATTAGATTATGTTAAAGAAGATTAGGGTGGGATTGTAACACCCTTACTAAGGTCACATCCCTGATCCAGTGTAAAGGGAATTTCCCTGGGGTATGGCCTGCACCACCTTTTTTACCTTACAAGAGATGAAAAGGAAGCTAGCAGAAAGTGGGGAACCTCATAGCACCAAGAAAGCAGTATCTGGAGCAGAGCACTTCCTTTGGACCTGAGGTTCCTGTGCAGAGAAGCTCCTAGACTAAGGGAAGATTGATGACACAGATCTTCCTCCAGAGCTGACAGAGACAGCCTTCCCCTGGAGCTGACGCCCTGTATTTGGACTTTTAGCCTACTGGACTGTGAGAGAATAAATGTCTCTTTGTTAAAGCCATCCACTTGTGTTATTTCTTTTATAGCAGCACTAGATGACCAAGACAGAGGCCCTGTACCTGTTAAAGAGGTGCTGTTAACATAGTGTTGGAAGCTGGAAAGAGCTAGTTGTTCTTACTTTCTGTGGCTTATAGACCCTTTTGAGAATCTGATACCTTGTTAGCAGATTAATATATGGATATATTAATAAGGAGCCCTAGGGGCGCAGTTGTTAAGAGCTATGGCAAGCTACGGCTGCTAACCAAAAAGTTGGCAGTTTGAATCCATCAGCAGCCCCTTGGAAACCCTATGGGGCAGTTCTGCTCTGTTCTGTAGGGTCACTGTGAGTCAGAATTGACTTGACGGCAACGGGTTTCATCGGTTTTATTAATAAAGTTGTGCATTCAATTTGTGGGCACTTGTAGGTCCCCTGAAGCATACCTTCAGACCCCCAGTTAAAACACCCTGTCTAGTCTGATCCTTTCATAGAAGGCAGTGCTGCCCACATTAGTGTTCCTTCCTCAGCATCAGAGTCAGCAAACACCCAGGACACACCTCCCCACTTTCTGCTCCTTCACCTGTGGCAGACATCACTAAGCGATTACTGTGTTCCATCCAAACGCAGCCTTCCCATCTTTCTCCTCAAAGCACTTAAGAGTCAGCACATGAGATGAATCTGCTCACTCTCATCTCTATGCCAGGGGAAATAGAATTTACAAAAGCTGTACTGGAATGTAATAGTAATACCGCAACAATAAGTGTGTTGATGATCGGGTCAGCTGCCCATATGGACTCTTGTTTCAGAACATTCCAGTAATGATAATCCAGCCATCAGTTGCACTGTTAGAATAATCACTGGTGGCCAAGTCCTGTATGTCCCTACAAGTCAGCTCCAGTTATTGCCTGGATAGATTCCCTGGGAGGGGCAGAGTTAACGTGCTTAGCTGCTAATCAAAAAGTCGGCAGTTCAAGTCCACCCAGAGGCACCGCAGAAGAAAGGCCTGGCAGTCTACTTCTGAAAAATCAGCCGTTGAAAATCCTATGGAGCACAGTTTTACTCTGACAAACACACGGTCGCCATGAGTCAGAATTGACTCTGTGGCAACTGATTTTTTGTGTTTTTTATTACCTGGACATTCACTGTGTACATGTAAGAAAAAACGGACCTGAGGCCTGCAGGAAGTAACACCATCGCAATCTGCATAACCAGAGTCTAGGAATGTGAGCCTCATCTAGGAGTGTGAGGTTGTTCTCTGTGTTGCTGTCAGGCTGGAACGTGGAAGCTGAAGTTCATCTGCAAGGCAGGGAGAGAGAGAGGCTCTTTGCTCTGGATTTTGACAGGGGCTGGGTGCAGGTGGAAACAGTGTTGACCACTAGACCTTATTCACCTGGTGTAGGTTTAAAGGTTCAGGAATGGCTGTGCACCTGCTCGTTTGCTAACCCTGCATTTTTGTGACATTGTTTGATAACAGGAGCCCTGGTGGCGTCGTGGTTAAAGTGCTAACCAAGAGGTTGGTGGTTCGAAACCACCAGCGGCTCTTCGAAAGAACGATGTGGAGTCTGCTTCCGTAGAGATTTATAGCCCTGGAAACCCTATAGGGTCTCTGTGAGTTGGAATCAACTCGATGGCCGTAGGTTTGGGGTTTGGGTTGTTTGATAACAATGAATCGAACGCATTTAGTTCTTTCAGTTTACAGATGTCACTCTCTGTTTGCTGTGGTAAGCGACGGTGCCAGAGTCAACCAACTGTGGCTTGTATGTTGTGGGAATTGATTTAAGTAAAATTCTCAGTAGGCCTTTGATCTGTAAGCTGCCGGAGGTCAGGAACTCTGTCTTTTGTTCTTTCTCAAGCACCTGATACCCTGTGTGTGGGGGGTATGCTGTGACCCAGGAAATGCTTTGAGCTGAAAAGTGTGTTAGGAGCGTTGGGGATCAAGTGTCTTGCCCACACTTGGCTCCAGCGTGCCTGGGTCTCAGAACAGCAGGCCCTGTGGTAGAGAGTGCAGGGCACAGAGGCAGAAAACTGCGAGCCTGGTTCCCAGCTGCCTTATCAGCTTCTCTCTCTCTGACACTGGCGCACGTAGGACAGTAGGAGGGAGTATGACTAGAAATTCTCTCAACTGCTTTATAGCTCTGATGCTTGTTGGGATACTCTTAAAATAAATTTAAGGTAGAAAGCTGAAGCAACGCCCCAGAGTATCTTAGCTAATTGGCAGCTCAGGCTGAGTTAGATTGTAGTTTGAAAACAGTTTTTCTTAACCAGTGAAGTTCACCTGTTACAGAACAACATGACACTTTTTTAGTAAGCTTCATTTGTTGTTGTCTAGTCAGCTCCGACTCATAGTGACCCTATAGGACATAGTAGAACTGCCCCCATAGAATTTCCAAGGAGCGGCTGGTGGATTCGAACTGCTGACCTTTTGGTTAGCAGCCAAGCTCTTAACCGCTGTGCCACTAGGGCTCCAAAACACACATAGCCGTCCTTAGGTGGCCTGTTTGGGTAAAGTGCCTGGGTGGGAAAACACTGATTGTGTCTCTCTGATGTGCGTTTCACTATCACAACAGACACTCCATAATTCCTTGTCCTTTTGCTTTCTGTCACCAAAGGAACCAGTGCATCAATCAGATGAAAGAGGTGAAAGAGCAGTGTGACGAGCAGATAGAGAAAATCAGCAGAAAGGGGAATGAAGCCATAGCTTCCAGAGACCTGAATGAAAAAAGAGACCAAAGTCAGCAGGTAATTCCTGAGTTTTTCTGCCAGGGCTTCCGAGAAGGTATTCCTACCCTCTCTCTGGGCGTTTTGTTCCTTTTATCTGCTGTCTGATGCGCTTTGATCTCTCCTCTCCCTTGCGGGTTTTGTTCCCTGCGATGCCCTGACTCTGGCCAGGTGTGCTGGCTCCAGACCAGAGTGTTCATGCTGAGGGCTTTATGGGAATTGTTTCATTTAAACCTCACAGCTACCCTGGGAGAGAATTACTGTTATTTTCCTGTTCTGAGAACACTGAGGCCCATGGTGATGGTTAAGAACCTTGCCCAGGGTTGCACTCCTGGTCAGTGGTGGAGCAGACTGTAAGCCGAGTTCTGTCAGACCCCGTGTCCTGTGCTGGCAACCTACGTCCTGTGTAAAGTGGAGCCCAGGAAACTACTGACCAGAGCCTTCTGGGAGACTTTTTTATTTTTAAATATAGCAGCTTTATTGAGACATAGTCCCCATACCATACAGTCCACCGATATGAAGTTTACAATTCATTGGGTTTTAGTATATTTACAAAGTTGTGCAATCATCACCACAAAATCAATTTCAAAGCATTTTCATCACTCCAGAAAGAAGCCCTGTACCCATTAGCAGTCACTCCCTATTCCCCCATAGCCTCTCCCCAGCCCTAAAACCCATTGCCATCAAGTCGATCCCTATAGGGTAGCTGTAAATCGCTAATGAGTCCCCAGTCCTAGGCAACCACTAATCTACTTTCTCTCTATGGATTTGCCTACTGTAGACATTTCATATAAAAGAAATCATACAATGTGTGGTCTTCATGACTGGTTTCTTTCACCTAGCATAATGTTTTTAAGGTTCATCCACATTGTAGCATGTATCAGTAACTTTATTCCTTTTTATGGCTGAGTAATATTCCACTTATGGATATACTACGTTTTGTTTATCTAGATGTCATGGACATTCAGGTTATTTCCACCTTTTGGTTATTATGAGTAATGCTGTTACAAACATTTGTATACATGTTTTTGTGTGGATATATGTGTTCAGTTATCTTGGGCTTATATATATCAGATACATGATTTCTAAATGTTTTGTCTCATTCTGTGGGTTATCTTTTTACTTTCTTGATGGTGTTCATTGAAGCACAACCATTTTTAATTTTGATGAAGTGCAGTTTTATCTATTTTTTTCTTTTGCAGCTTGTTCTTTTGGTGTCATATCTAAGAAGGCTTTGCCTAATCCGAGGCCACAAAGATTTATTCTCATGTTTTCTTCTGAGAGTTTTATATAAGTTTTAGCTCCTACATTTATGTCTATGATCCATTTTGAGTTAATTTTTGTATATGGTATGAGGTAGGAGGTCTATCTACATTCTTTTACATGTGGATATCCATTTGTCTTAGCACCATTTGTTAGAAAGACTATTCTTTCCTTCATTGAATTGTCTTGGCATTGTGCCAAAAATCAGCTGACCATAAATGTGAAGGTTCATTTCTGAACTCTCAATTCTGTTCAGTTAATATCTATTTTTCTACCCTCAGACTAGGAATGCATAGTCTTGATTGCTGTAGCTTTGTAATAAGTTTTGAAATCAAGAAGTGTCAGTCTTCTAACATATTTCTTTGTAAAGATGATTTTGGCTAATCTGCATCTCTTGAATATTCATATGCATTTTAGGATCAACTTGTCTGTCTCTTCAAAGGAGTGATCTGGGAATTTGACAGGGATTATGTTGAATCTATAGATCAATTAGGATTGCCGTCCTAAAGTATTAAGTCTTCCAGTCTATGAATATGGGATGTCTTTCCATTTATTTAGATCTTTAATTTCTTTCAACAGTGTCTTGTACTTCTTTTGTATAATAATAAAATATTATTATTCAATCCTAAATATTTTATTATTTTTTAATGCTGTTGCAAATGGAGTTGTTTTTCATAATTTCATTTTGTGATTGTTTATTGCTAATGTAAGAAGTATAGTTGATTTTTGCATATTCATCTTATATCCTACAACCTTGCTAAACTTATTAGTTCTAATAATTTTTTTGTGGATTCCTTAGGATTTTTTATACACAGTATCATGTAATCTGCAAATAGAGGTGGTTTTCTTCTTCCTTTTTAATCTAGATGCCTTTTGTTTCTTTTTCTTGCCTAATTTCCCTGGCTAGATCCTCCAGTAAAATGTTGAATAGAAGTGAAAGGGGCATCCTGTCTGTTTTTGAATACAAGGGGAAAGCACTCAGTCATTTCATCTTTGAGTTTGAAGTTACCTGTGGGTTCTTCTCAAACGCCCTTTATCAGGTTGAGGAAGTTCCTTTCTATTCCTCATTTGTTTTAACGGTCTTTTTGTTTGTTTGTTTGTTTTTTAAACCAAGAAGAGGTGTTAGATTTTTTCAAATGGTTTTTCTCTGTTGAGATGAATGAGCATGTGTTTTCTGTCCTTTATCCTATTTCTATGATGAAACCAAAAAAACAAACCTTTTGCCGTCGAGTTGATTCTGACTCATAGCGACCCTATAGGACAGAGTAGAGCTGCCCCATATAGTTTCCAGGGAGTGTCCGGTGGATTTGAACTGCCCACCTTTTGGTTAGTAGCCGTAGCTCTTAACCACTACACCACTAGGGTTTCCATTTCTATGATGTATTACATTGATTGATTTTTGGATGTTAAACTAACCTTCCATTCCTGGACAAATCCCATTTGGTTGTGGTGTATAATCCTTTTATGTGTTGCTGGATTTATTTTGTTAGTATGTTGTTGAGGATTTTAATGTCTGTAGCTTAACTTTTTTGTCTAGTTTTGGTATTATGGTAATACTGGGCTCAGAATAAGTTGGGAAGTGTTCCCTCTGTTTTTTTTTTTTTTTTTTGAAAAGTTGGTAAAAACTTAGTATTAAAATTCTTCTTTAAGTGTTTGATAGAATTCACCAATGAAGCCATCTGGGCCTGTGCTTTTCTTTGTGGGAAGTTTTTAATTAAATTTCTTTACTTATTATAGGTCTATCAGATTTTTCTATTTTTTCTTTAGTCACTTTTGGTAGTTTGTGTTTTTCTAGGAGTTTGTATCATCTAAGTTATCTAACTTGTTGGCCTACAGTTGTTCATAGTATTCCCTTATACCATATTGTTATGCAGATAACACGTGCCTTCTATGTTTATTTGACAACCGCACCCTCCCCCTGCAAGGTATTTTCACAAGTGCACTATGCTGTTTTTTTTTACAGCAACATGTAAAAAAACTTGGAATAGTAGCGCTTATGAAAATAGCTCGCGGGGGAGGGCGCGGTTGGCAAACAAACATAGAAGGCATGTGTTATTTGCATAAAAATATGGTAATCCTTTTTATTTGTGTGAAGTTGGTAGTGATGTCCCCTTTCATTTTTTATTAATTTGCGTGTTCTCTCTTTTTTTCTTGGTTAATCTAGTTAAAGGTTTGTCAATTTTGTCCATCTTTTCAAAGAACTAACTTGGTTTCCTTGATTTTCTCTATTGGCTTTCTATTCTCTATTTCGTTAAATTGTTTTCTAATCCTTATTATTTCCTTCACTCTTCTTGCTTTAGTATATTAAGGTGGAAGGTTAGGTTTTCAATTTGAGATCTACTTTTTTAATATAGGTGTTTACAGCTATAAATTTACCCCTAAGCACTGCTTAAGCTGCCTCTTACAAGTTTTGGTGTGCTGTGTTTTTGTTTTCATTCCTCTCAAAGTATTTCCTGAATATGCCTTGTGATTTATTCTTTGACCATTAGTTACTTAGGAATATGTTATTTAATCTCCACATATTTGTAAATTTCTCAAATTTCATTCTGTTATTGATACATAATTTCATCCATTATGGTTAGAGAACATAGTTTGTATGACTTCAGTCTTTAAATTTACTGAGTGTTGTTTTATGGCCTAACATCCTGGAGAATAGTCTATGTACAGTTGAAAAGAATGTGTATTTTACTCTTGGTGGGTGTGTCTGTTAGGTCTGGTTGGTCTGTGGTGTTAAGTCATCCGCTTCCTTGTTGCTCTCTGCCTAATTGTTCTGTTCATTATTGAAATTACCTCCCAGGTGATCTTGACTCAACCTCAAGTTTTTTGATGCAAGTTCTGCCTGTGCCATGTGACAGGGTGTGACGGGCAGATCACGGCATTTCTCAGGGTTTCAGTGTTCTCATTCGTCACATGGGCATGGTGGTCCATTGCATTGCTGGGGTTATTGGTTCATGGTCACAGAGCCCCTGGCTGACCATCTTGTGCTCCTCTTTCAGCATCACTTCCTCAGCGAGCCTCAGGCCAGGTTGCAGGATGCAGGCTTGCTGCAGGCAGAGGTGCCACAAGAGAAGGGAAATGTACTCAGCAACGCCCAGCGCCAGACACCAGCCCCCAATTCTGAAATAGCTTTGGATTTGAAGAGACAAGCTGAGAAGGGTAAGTTGAGGCCAGGCAGTTACACGTGTAAGCCCCCTCCAGAGCCCCACTTAAAGAAAAACAAAGCAGCGGCTCATGGCTTCCACTCCATATATACACGCAAGGACAGAGTGTGCTGTTTGAGGCGGACAGCGAGCTCAGTCATGGGGCTGGTAGGCGGCAGGTGAGTGTTTCTGGGCACCTGGAATTGGGGCCGCAGGGCTTACCTTGTCTTATAGATGTCTCCTTGTAAACTAAGCGCCTTGTTCTTTGTAAAGCAGGGTCTAGGCTATTGGCTGTACTTTTATTTGGGACATTGGTGGGTTTGAGAGGTGGCCAAGCCCTGGGCAGCTGCCATTTGGGAACAGTGGGGGTTGCTGTGTACCTGTAGGCTGGCGTGCCCTGGCTCCAAGTACTTGTCTCAGATAAGACAGTCAAATAAAGCCAGCAGTAAGCACACCCTCCTCCACTTGGTCCATCGCTGTAATTGCTATTTTTTTCTAAATGACATTTCTCTTGCTCACAGTTTGGAAGATGAGCCTCAGGCAGAGAGACGCCTGAGCTCACAAAATAAATCTACCCAACTGCTACCCCATGTGCGGCCCACTCCATCCACGCTCCTTGGGAGGGCCCTGGTAATCAGGTGGCACACGTTGTCTGTCTTTAATTTGAATTAAATGCCTGTAAGGTGACAGCTGGCTGTGTTCTGTGTGCAGAGGAAACAAATGAGATTCAGGTTGTCCGCGAGGAGGACACTCAGAGGCTTGGCCTGGGGCTGCCGCAGGAGCCGGGCCAAGCGCCGGCTGCCAAAGACGACAAGCTCGTGGAGGGAAAAGGTGTTGGGGGAGCCAGAGAACTTGGCCAAACCCCACAGTTGCCAGCTGCCCTGCTGGCGAGCCAGGAAAATATAGAGACTGACGGCCCTGAGCGGGACCAGCTTGTCATCCGTGAGGACCAGGAGGAGGAGCATGGTGCAGATGAGCAAGGTGGGTAGAGGGCCCCGGGCTGCCTGCTGACTCCACTCTGCTGGCACTTGGCCGTCGTGGCCTCCTTCCTGACACAGCAGGATCTCTGTGACTTCTCTCCAGCAGCAGCTTACGATTTGGTGGTTCGTTTTGTTTGTTTTCAAGTTGGAGGCAGGAAGGAGGAGCGATGCACACTTTGGCACTTTGAGGTTCAGAAATACTATTAACGGGAAGTCGAGGGGACTTTCAGGTGGAAGACCGTGAGAGGACTGCTTGGCGTTGAGGAAACATGCCTCCTGGCAGGCAGACCACCTGTCCTGTCCGTGTCCTCTTTCTCATGCAGTGTCAGGTCCAGCGTGGGTACTCAGTGAAGGCCTGGTGGGTGAGTGAATGAGTGAACGGTTAGGTACATGGAGTCTAATGTGTATTTTAGCATTGAGGAAAAGCGACACGGGAATCCACCTTTCTGGATCAGTTGACTTTTTAAAGAAATACAGGGAAGTGTGGGAAACTGAGAGCCACAGAATATTCTGGGATGTATTTTGGTTCCTTAAAGATGTGGAAACTTTCAATCCCAGCCGAGCCAGGAGCAGTTAGGAGACGATGCCTGTGCTCTGGGGCGGAACAAGGTGCGGAAGTTGGGGAGTGCGCTTATTTGTGTATGCTGATTCCATCTAAATCTGGTTTTCATTACCGCTCTCTTTCTGAAGCACGTGTCCTCACAAGTTCCCAGTTACAGAGCTGCATTTTGTCAGCTTCCCTGCTCTGGCCCCTGCTGTCCGCACTGCCCCACAGTAACATGTACCCTGGGGGAGGTAGGGAAGGAAAACCTGGCATGGCTCATCGGGGCGCTGGTGGTTCAGGCTGTTCAGCAGCTGGTCACAGAGGTGCATGTGCCCGAGACACACAGGCCTGTGTGATACCTTCGCTCTACGTGTCTTTGTCACAGGCTAATTGCAGAATAACCTACAGGGCACGCAGGCCTGGCTCTGAGTCCACCTCAGGCAGTGCAGAGAAATACGATCAGAGCTGACTTTTCCAGACATGGCTTTTTCAAAAAAGATTTTCTTCACCTACCTGTATATGGATATAAAATATTTAAGTTAAACCCTTTAAGTATGTCTCTTGGGTGCATTTTAGCCTGATCTTCTTTTCGGGTTGCTGTTTCCTCCGGGGAGGCATGTAGTCATAAATGATCTAATTCTGTATGATGGACAGTTTTTATCCTTTGGTTCACAATAGTCACTGTTACCTTCTCTTGGAGGCATGAGTCCTTTTGAGATGCTGTTGACACATAGAAACCTGGTGTTTCCTAAAACAGTGGTTGGTACCTTCCCTTTAATCTTGATTTCATCATCTCTTAAAAACTGGGATTTGGGTTTAGTCAGTTTCCTACTGCAGCCTTTTGTTTAGGGCCGTGTTTTCCACAGAGTAGAACTGAAGTGGTGCCTGCGTATGAGGGCCCCTGCATGGTATCTGCATTGGAAGCAAGCATTCAGTCCCCCACCATTGTCTGAAAGGAAGGAGAAAGATATGCCTGTTAGATGCTAAGCCCCCAGGACCTGGGCACTGGTGCTCCTCTGGCATAAATAGAGAAGTGATGTCGCTTATGTTTTACATGTCTGTGTCGATGTTACAGGGAGAAACCAGCAAAAACTGGGAGGAGATGATGCGTACAACACAGATGAAAATGAGGCAGAATCCGAAACAGACAAGCAGGCAGCCTTTTTGGGAAATGACAAAAGCCTAAACAGTAAGAACGGTGATGGGGTCACATTTCTTGTGCTTCTTTGTGTCCTTCATGTCCCCTTTCTGGTTCTTCACTTTTGGACTGACCATACAATGAATTTCAACAATAATGTTGTAAGTAATCGATCATTTGAAGGAGACTTTCTTTTCCTTGGAAGCCGTTGAAAGTAGGGGTGGTAGAGGGAGGCAAAGGGTTGAGGCCCAGCATGATAAAGATGTTTCAGAAAGTCTTTCTGCTCATTGGGTTCAAGCCCCTAGATTATTGGTTACAAGATTGTTTTTTGTTCTTCAGTGACATTTAGGGACTTCCCAACAAAATGGCTGGGTGACCACTTGATCACTGTACGTTATTGTCTTAGTCATCTAGTGCTGCTGTAACAGAAATACAAGTGGATGGCTTCAACAAACAGAAGTTTATTATCTCATAGTCTGGTAGGCTAGAAGTCCAAATTCAGGGCGTCAGCTCCAGGGGAAGGCTTTCTCTGTCAGCTCTGGATGAAGGTCCTTGTCATCAGTCTTCCCTTGGCCTAGGAGCTTCTCAGTGTAGGGACCCTGGGTCCAAAGGACGCACTTTTCTCCTGGCACTACTTTCTTGCTGGTATGAGGTCCCCCCAGTCTCTGTGCTCGCTTTTCTCTTTTATATCTCAAAAGAAATTGACTTAAGACACAACCCAGTCTTGTAGATTGAGTCCTACCTCATTAACATAATTGCCTGTAATCCTGCCTTATTAACATCATAGAGGCAGGATTTACAACACACAGGAAAATCACATCAGATGACAAAATAGTAGACAACCACACAATACTGGGAATCATGGCCTAGCCAAGTTGACACACATTTTTAGGGGACACAATTTAATCCATAACAATTATCAAAAAAGAAGTTCCAGTCTATGTACAGTGTCCTAGCAGCTTTTTTTATAGCTGCACTTTGTATTATTATTATTATTACTATTATTTTGAATTATTGAAGTGTCCAGACCCGTGTCTTTTAAAATAAGTCACATTCTGGATGTGTCCATTTCCTGGTGGGTGGCTTCAGGTTGAATGCTGTGTAGCTGATGTGTGCTTCTCTCATATCACACCGGGAGGCACATATTGCCAGGCTGCCCCACAGCTGGTGATGCCAAGTCTGATCCCAGGTCTCCATGGCAAAGGCACATTTCCCTTTGCAATCAGTAACCTGTGAGGGTGATGCTTTGAGAGTGTGTGGCTCTGCTACCCATTCAGGAGCCTTGCCTAAACCTCTTATTACTTTGGGGGTTGCAAGGTGGCAACTTTTCTGTCATCCCCTCACATTTTTTAGCTGGAATTATTCTTTAAGGAAGCCCTGCCTCCCCCAGCACACACACATTAAATTCATTCTTCTGTTGGATTCTTGGTGTTTTTTTTCCTTAATTTTTAAGAGCTCTTTTTATATGTTAGGGAGATTGACTTTTATCTGTGATATAAGTTGTAGACACTTTCTGCCAGTTTGTTTTGCTTATGGTATTTTTTTTGCCATGCAACATTTCAAGAAATTTTCTCTTCTCTTTTATTGCTTCTGGATATTGAATCCTGGTTAGAAAGGTTTTCTCCACTTCTGGTGTTTAAAGGAATTCGTCTTGTATTTGAATGCTTTCAAATTTTTTAGTCTCTAAAACACAGCTTCAGAAAACCATACAGAACAGTGAGTTCTTAGAAGGTGAATACCTCATCGCCGCCTCCCCAGTCAGAACTTGGCCAGCCACTTCTGAGACCCTTCTGCGTCCCCTGTCCCAATGCCGGCAGCCACCTTCCCCCTCAGTAATAGCCACCTTTAGAGCGGTCATTTCCTTGTCTTCTTTATGGGTTTGTCACCCAAGATGGCATCCCTGGACACTATAGTCTTGCCCGTTTTCTTAAATTTGATATCTTAAGTCTCTCAATCTCCAAGTTCCCCCTCCATTCCTTTCTTTTCTTTACATCAGTTAAGGAACCCAAGCTGTTTGACCTGTAGAGTTTCCTACAGTCTGGATGTTGCTGATTCATGTTGCAGTTTAGCATGTTCCCTGGTTGCGCAGTGGTTAGAGCTTGGCTCCTAACCAAAAGGTCGGCAGTTCAAATCCATCAGTCGCTCCTTGGAAACCCTATGGGGCAGTTCTACTCTGTCCTATATGGTCGTTATGAGTTGGAATCATCTGGACAGCAACAGGTTTGGTTTTTTAGTTTTCATGTCCTGCAGATCAGCAGCTGGATCCAGAGGCTTGATCAGACTTAGGTTCAGGCTCCAGCCCCTGGCAAGACCCTAGGTGGTGGTTCGTTCTTTCTTTAGAGGCACGTAATAACTGCCCGGTGTCTTTTTGTGCTGTTAGCAGCAGCAGTTGTTCAGGGCCTGTTTCTGTTAGGAGTCCCTGGGTGGTGCCAACGGTTGAGCACCTATTAGTCGAAAGGTTGGCGGTTTGAACCCACCCAGAGGTGCCTCGGAAGACAGGCCTGGTGATCTGCTTTTGAAAGGTCACAGCTTTGAAAACTCTATGGAGCAGTTCTATTCTGTACATACGGGGTCACCATGAGTTGGAATCGACTCAGCAGCAACCAGCAACAACATCCTAGTTCTATCATTTCTATTTCATTTGTTAACTAGAATATTTTTATAAACAGACATTTTCCCTCATCTATTGTTTGTTCACCCAGTAGTATTGTCCTATAGGAGAGGCAGTATCAATGCTTCTTTCTTGCCGTTTACCAGTTTTCATCATAATGAATTGTTTTCCTGTCAGCCTCTGAAGGTGACCATTTAAAATGACCATTTAAAAATATTGTAAGCTCATGGATGTAAACATATTTGATGGGTTTCATTCAATTTCATTTATCATCTTTTTGGCACCTCAAATTGCCTCATCTTCTTTGGACAGTGGAGGCTTCCCCACTTTTTATCTGGACCTTCAGGTTCCTTTGTCTCTCTTGTCCTTGTCCCTGCTCAGCAGTTTTCCTCTCTCTGGGCTCTACCTGGAAAGGAGCCCTGCAGATTAGTGTCAGGAGTCCGTGGGGCTCGGACTTCGCCCACTCTGCTAGTCTTCACCATGGATACCTTATGATGGGCTGCCACGGGAGCCTCCCGTCGTCAGCAGCCACCTGCACACTGGGCCAGCATGCTTTCTGGTGTGTCCCTGTTGGCTCTTTGGAGTTCTGTTCTCAGCTGCGTTGATGCTTCTTGCTTTCCTGTGTTCTTTACACACAGATGCTGCTGTCATACATGTGGCTGGCTGTGGTTTGTCTTTGACTGCTTGTATTTTGACTGAATGATTCCTGCAGGGATTCCTGGTCATCTAGTTTTGTTATAAATGCCCATGGCTTTTGAGTTTTTTATCTAGTTGCTCTAGGTAGGGATTCAGAGAGATTAACAGACTGCCACCATTGTTCCAGAATCATCCTCTGCTTTCATATTTGACGTTTAGATCGGAGTCATTTGCTTCATATGAAGTTTATGTGGGTGTATGGCCTCAAGTGTGTAAGTCCAATTTTATCTTTTTCTAAAGGGCTATCCAGCTGGCCCAGCATCATCTCAAAGCCAGTGATTTGAGATGCCACCTTTAACAAATAGTAAATTTTTTAGACCCATATGTACTTGGGTCTATTTTTGGATTTTCTATTTGATTGATTTCTCTGTCACCTCACTTTGTACAACACTGTTCTAACAGCTTTAACATCTGGCAGACTGAGTCCTCTGGGAAATCTCAGTCAACATCTCCTTGAAGAATGTTCCTTCCTTTCCTTATTCCTTTTTGAACTCGTGATTAGAAGTTAGATCTTCTCATTCTGTCTTTAATTTCTGCCTCTCTGGGCTGCATTCAGGATAATTTTTTTTTTTTTAGGTATTTTAGCTTTGTTTTGTGGCATATTGTTGGCCATATATAGAGTCTCTTTTTTAATATCTTGAATTCCAACTTACAGTGTTGTTGGTGAGGTGTAGAAACTTATGCCACGTGGGATTTGCCTGGGCTGGTTTCTCCAGCTGTTTAATATTAGAATGTATGTGAGTGTGTATTTGTGTGTTTCTTTTCTTTCCTTTTTAGTTTTTAATGCTGAAGATAAAAAAAGAGATACCATAAATTTACTTGATCAGCGTGAGAAGAGGAATCATACTCTCTGAATCAAAGTGGAAACACACACTTCCCATCAGGATTAAACACAGATGATGATAAAATAATTCATGTGGAATTGAACGTGCAAAACTGAAAAGTACTCAGTGAAATTACATCTAAAGATGATTATTGTGGAGTTTTAGTATGTACTTTGTGTGGGAAAAATGGAATTGTCCTTTTAGATACTTTTTGGGAGTACTTTTGAAGTGTCTATATTAGGATATCAAAATTTGTTAAGTTTTTGGTTAACAGGCATTTCATGAAAAAGATCAACACCAAAAAATACAAGTTCTACTTCAAGTATGGTGACAGTGGTGCTTGTTTATTCTGGAACAGAACGTTCTTTAAAAACAAACAAAAAGGCGTGAGGGAAGAGTCAGTCTTCTGATGCTATGAAGAGGGCCACCACACTTAGAGGACGCCCCCTCGGTCCCCTCTGGAGGCATTGTCTCCTCCACAGGCTTTGCCGAGGGACTTGGTCCCAGCCCATTATTTCTGGTCTCACTGGGAAAGACTGAATGAGGATTGCCCTCTACTCTCGTGCACTCACTCCTGATAGTCAAGGGCCTAGAGCACTGACTATTAACAAAAATGTCATCTAGCAACAGTTTTAACAAGTATAGACACAAAGCTGTTTTGTGTGAGAATTTCTAAAAAGACTACTTGTATAATAACCCGTCATCCTTAATGTACAAAAGGCTATTAAGTAACTTGTGATTTGAGCATTTGTGGTCTGTACTTGCTTTGGTTAGTATATGTGGGTTAAGCAAAATCTTCGGTAATAAGTAGATCTTACCAAAAAGAGACACGAGTGGATTGGACTTCGGACCCAGCAGAGGCCTAGCGGAGAGGGTGCCGGCAGCCTGCAGCAGAGCCCAGTGTGGGAGGCACAGCCATGTGAGGGCTGGTTTGTTGTGGACAAATCTGTGCCTACTTTATCACAAGAGTAAAAGAAAAGAAAGTTAACTGATGTTGAAGGATATTTACAGTGTTACAAGTTGGGACAGTTTAGAAAGGCAAGAGAAATAGTTCATTTTTGTCAGTTTATACATTTAGCTGTGGCAAAATGACTATCACAAAACTGATTTAAAAATCAAAGGTTAATGTTAATTTTCAAAATGGACTTAGAGTGACTGTTTTATCATAATCCACACTGGTAGCAGTGACAATAGGTTTGACTTCAGTTGGTTCCCCCATATTTAAGGCGGATCAGCTCTTTCCTGCAAATGGCTGGCAGTCACGTTCCTGCCTTGCTTTCAGTGAGCATCTCTAAGGTTGAGTAAGTGGTGGCGCCTATTAGAATACATTTAGATTCACAGAATTTGAGCTGCAAGGGCCTCAGAGGTCATTTGGTGGAGAGGATAGTAAGGCCCAGAGAGGTTATGTAATTTACAGGAGCCAGATAGCAGGGGAGCTTGGTGCCTGGACTCACACGCAGGTGTGCTGACATAATGCATTCATATTAGGATTTCAGACTTGAATGTTCTTCATGTAGGAATGTAGGATATCCTTTTACCCTCACTGAGAAAAGGCAGCTGAAGGAGGATATAAAAGTAGCTTATAAGACCTTTATCTTTTTCCAGCGTTCCTTTATGTGTTAGTCTTAGGGTTGATATAAATTCTTGCTTTCTCAAATAATTAATGAAACCTCTAGGTGTCTCGTTTAATTAATGTGCACAGAGTTGCTGAGAAAATACTCCTTGATTTTAAAACTATCTTCCCAGATAATTCCCTTCATCCCTTAGGGATCTCTTAAGAATCTGCTTTTAAACTGTAGATTTAAGGATAGTGGTTCACCTTAAACCATTTGTGAAATGAGATGGGATATCAATATAAGTGAAAAACAATCATGATAACTTGGTGTACAGAGGCATCTGAGGCCACCCATTCAGGAGGATGTGTACCTGGACTTCTCCAGGCAGTCACCCCAGTGGTTCTCCTGTGATCTCAGGCACGAATTCTGAGGTAACAAGAGGTGTGATGGCTGTTTAAAAAAACAAAGCAAAACAAACCTGTGCAACAAGCATCAAATACATATCAAATCCCGACCTTGGTCTTTTGGGTTCATCCAAAATTAAATAAGCAGCTATTCTTTATTAAAATTAAAACCTACTTTTAGCAAGTATCTAATTTACACCTTCCTCTCTATACTCAAATGGTGTGTAGACAGGAGTGATAGAGTTATTTATTTGATTTTTTTACCCCTGCAAATAGGACTGCATATGGAGACTTTCTAAGCAAACTTGGATAAGATTTCACACTGCACTTACGCGTGATGGAATTTGAAAAATGAACCATTACCTGTTAAATAATTAATTATGCTACATTAAATAACCAGAGTGATAACTAGCATTGTTTTGTTACCACTTGTAGTAACTGGTTGTCCATTCATAGTAGAGTGTGGAATGCTGGAAGAGAACTGTGAATAATGAAGAAGGGTCATTTAAGGTCCAGTGGATCTGTCTACTCCTCCCACTCTCTGGCCTAAAAGATTAATTTTTAATTATACATAATGATAGTCTGAGGCACTGAACAACTTTGAACACTTGCCTTTGAAATAATTTTAGAAAAGATATTTAAATTTAAAATAATAAAGATGGTTCCATTAACTGTGGGTTAAATTTTTTTCACATGATTAGGCTGAAAATGTTTTAGTGTCAAAGTTGGGGAAATGGTTTATCTTAATTATGTATTCAAATATTTGTATGTTTATGTGTTGTTTCTCAGCTCGGAGGGCAACACTTTTTTGAAGTGTACTAAACCACTGTCCCTTCGCATGTTTTAAAAGCTGATTGATGAAATTCTGGTTATATGTACACTGAAGGATTACTTTTGAAGTAACTGTCTTTCCATGAGCTTTTTTTTTTTAATTCAGAAAGTTGGATTTTATGTATTCATGATTAACTTTAAAATCTTGCTAATTAAAAAAAAAAAGTAAAATGCTTCTATCCTTGTTGGTGTATCTCTGGTAAAGTAAATGACATATTCTCTCACCTTGAAGTTAGAAAAATATAGAAACTTCAGATAATGAACTTTTTATAAACTGAGGCCCAAACCAGTTGAAACAAATGCTTTGTTTTTCATCCTTATGCCTTAGCAGAATAAAATTATCCCCTCTAAACCAGAGTAAAAACCCTGAGTTGAGTGACATAAACCACACCTTGCTTGTAGTACTGTACATCCCACAAAGATTCCAATCCCATGATGGGTGCTTGACATGTATTTCCTGGGTGCTAAGTCCAAATAAATGATTGTGATTGATCAGGGATGTGGTCCCAGACAGCCTAATTTTCCACGTAACGGAAGTTTTGCCTTTTAGCCCCTTTTTAATCCTTGAACAGAGCAAATGCCTCAAAGGAAAGCACACGATTCTGTCAGTAACACACTAATAAATTTTTTGCTTTTCAGTTGACAAAGGGTTAACAATACAGACACTTTGCTCTTAGGAAGATCCATTCCTAAAAGGTAGCCTCAGTGTGTCTGTAACTGAGTCAGAACTGTTTGCTTAGTAACCTTCATCCACACTAGGGGACCAATCAGATATGTAGGTTACAAAGAAATGACAGGTTAGCTGCTTTAAAGTATTTCCAGAAAAAGTTTCAGTATGTTTGCAAGAAAGGTGTCAGACCAGAGTTTAGACAGTTGGAATTCAGAACCCTTCTTACTGTGTTGTTGTTAGTTGCTGGTGAGTCAACTGCAACTCAGGGTGACCTCGTGTACAACAGAAAGAAACCCTGCACGGTCTGTGCCTGCCATCTTCATGATCATCGGTAGCTACTGTGTCAACCTATCTCATTGAGGTTTTCCCTCCTTTCACTGACCCTCTCTACCAAACATGACGTCCTTTTCTAGCAACTGGTCTTTCTTGATGATGTGGTCCAAGGTAAGTTGAGCTGAAGTATCGCCATTCTCGCTTCTAAGCAGCATTCTGTTTGTATTTCTTCTGTTGGTTCTTCCTGGCATTCACAGTATATTCAATATTTTGATTTGAGTGCATCAGCTCCTCTTCGGTCTTCTTTTTCACGATCCAACTCTTGCATGCATGAGGCAACTGAAAAGACCACCTTAGTAATCAAAGTGATGTCTTTGGTTTTTAAAAACTTTAAAGAGGTCTTTTGTAGCAGATGGGCCCAGTGCAATACGTCGTTTGATTTCTTGACTACTTTTTACCACAGACCAAATGTATAATTTTCACTGAGTCAGAATCGACTCGACCACAATGGGCTTAGTCTTAGACCAAGCCACAAAAGCCAACTTAAGGCCTGTTGTAGCTCATACTGCTCATTAGTACTGCATACTACGGGGGGACAAAAGGGAAGGCCCCAGGAGGCTTGGACAGCTGCCATGGCAGCATGAGCGAGAACACCAGAGCAGACGGAGAGGAATGAGCACAGGGAGGGTGGGGCATCTGGCTGTGGGCACGGCACTTGAAGGAACAGGTAGATTTTGGTCAGCTTTTCAAAGCCAGAGCATATTCACAGGGACTGACCCCCTCATTTGAAAATGTTTCATGGGTTAAAATGAACATGAAGAAGTAAACAAAAAGGAACATGCCACATTTAAACCTAGACCTTAAAATTAACAATCTATGTATTTCTGTCTTTTAAATGTTTCTAGCAAATGAAATCTGTAATCTTTTAAAAAGTGCCAACAGTAAAAGTTAAAGAATTTAAAAAAAATCTGTATCCTTATAGATAGCTATCATTTATATTGTGACATAAAACCACACTCCCCCATTTAACCCACCTAACCTCCTTTTATAGCTCAGAGGCCCCCCAAAGGCCCCATTAAGATGTATTTTTGCCAAAACCCCATACAAATGTTAATCCTTTGATCTGAAACTTTTAGTACTCAAATTTTTTTTTAACTACTCAAATGTTAGAGCAAATGCCTTCAGTTCTTAACATGTATCACAAAGTGTTCTCATTTTTCATCTCCAGCAGTGCATTTTTGTCAAGAAATTTATTAACCTTTACAAACACTATTTTCACTCCATCATTCATAAAAAATGATTTATGATTAAATCTGTAATAAAACCATATAATGTTCATCAATGCATTCAATAAGACCAGTTTCATCCATGGAACATAATAAACCACTTTAAAACAGCAGTTTTCATTCATGTCATATAAGGCTATCAAACTAAAAGTATTCCTTATAATGACTTGTTATCCAAGAAATCCATTTCACTTCATGTTACGTGGTAAGACTGATGGATGTATGTTCTGAGAGGAATCTGATATTAGATTCCACTCCTTTATGATTAGTTTTTCAGTCTCTCTCAAACAAGTTTCACAACAGGAAAATATTTGTGGGCAGAGAAATCAAATTCGGGAGGAACCTAGAAAGAAAATCAGAAAGTTTATATATCTACAAATTTTTGGACAGTAAACAAAAGACTTTTTTAGTTTCCTGTGTTTTTAGAGAAGAGGCAGGAGAAAGATGCAATACTGGTTAAATGACAAAGTTAAGTTAGGCACTAAGCTGGAGAAAAAAAATGATCAGCTTATCTCTGGTTTATGAAGGGTAGACAACATGCTGACCAGCTGTTTTCTATCTTCACTGAGTACTTAACAAGGGAAAATGGACTTCAGTTACAGGAAAGGAGTTCAATTAGATCATGGGTCAGCAACTCTTTTAGTTCCAGGGTCACTGATAGTACTAAGCAATGCCAGTGCGAGTCACTGGTCAAGCAGAGCGGGTGAGAAGGCAGACAGACATGGGAAAAACCAGAGTAAACACAGGGATGGGGACAGCCGGGCTGTCCTCTTGCTCAGTGCAGAACCCCTGCAGTGAGATGCTGATTAAACAGTTACACCTGACAAGGAAAGCTTACACATCTCCCATCTCCTGAGCCATTAAAAAAAGTCTTTAATTATTGAAGTATTCCCCTTTCCAAAGGATGGATGACTTTATAAATACCTCTCCCAGAAATTTGTTTTTATCTATTTTCTTTTTTACCCCAAGTCATTCCATTATTTACATGGAGGAAGGAAGGAGAAGGGAAAGGTAGGCTTTTTAAGTCAAAATCTATACGTTTCAAGGCAAAATGGCAAGCTCTAGTTAATCTCCTGTGTGCTGTATCTCTTTTAGGATGTTTATTTTAATGAGTGTCTTAACATTTTCTGGGGGGGTAATAACATTTATGCATATTATTGGAAAAAAATTTTTCAATAATTTAAGGCCATTTTTCCCACAATGTACGTACCTTAGATTCCTTTTTATGTCCTCCTGCCAATAACTTCATAACCACAAAGTTGGGTTTGGCAACTTTTAATATTCTAGTGACCTAAACAGTGAGCAACATTATTAAAACAAAATTCATATTCATTATGTCTTTATAGATACTAACTGGAATTTTGCATAGTGTTAAAATTTTATGCAATAAAGACAATTTAAAAATATGAACAAACATACTTCTTTAGTAATATAACCTGTATTTTAATCAACTCTGAAAACTTGAAAGGGCTGCCGTATCTCATATCATTAGCATAATGTTAAGAGCATGGACTCTGGAGTTAGACTTCGATTTCACATTTCACCGTTGCCTCTTACTAGCTGTGAACCTGGCAAGGTACTGTACCCCCTCTCTTCTTCAGTTTTCTCATCTGTGAAAACGGAATAATAATTCTACCTACTCTGCAAAGATTTGGTGTGAGGATTAAACAAGTTAATCTATGTTAAGAGCTCAGACCCATACCTGGCAGGTAGTTAAACATCCTTTTAAGTGTTAACTGTTAGTAGTATTTCTGACTACTGCTTATCTAAGAGACTTCATTTGAACACATGAATAACAGTGGGCTGGAATACTGTTTTTCTCTTAAGAGAGAATAATATAAAACTTGAAGAAAAAAGTTCACACTGCCTTCTTACTGACCTCTCTTTAGAAATACACACCACCACAAGTTCAGGACCTCTCCTCTTGAACTCCAGATCACATATCCAACTGCCTAGATGACATCTCCACTTGGACATCCAATAGGCATCTCAAACTTAACAAGTGCAAACCCAGCTCCTGACCACGCCCCCGCTGCCCTCCACCTGCTCATGCTCCACTGCAGGCTTCCCACCCAATTCAATGCATCAGCTGCTCAGGTCAAAACCCTTAAAGTCACTTTTGACCCCTCTTTCTCTCACACCCCACATCCACTTTATTTGCCAATCCTGCTCTGACTCAACCTTAAAATACACTGAGAATGTAACTGCTTCTATCACTCAACGATCACCACCACCTCCCACTTGGGTTACTGCGTTGGCTCCCCTGCTTCTACCCTTGCCCCTACTACGGCCTGTTTCAGCACAGTGGTCAAGGCCACTGTGGTCATAGACTGGGTCACTCCTCTGCTCAAAAGCCTCCAACAGTTTACCCCCTTGCTCAGAGGAAAAGCCTGGTGTGATGTGGCCACCTGCTACCACTCTAACCTCATCTCCCACTTGCCTGCCACACTCCATCGACACCAGGCCCTGGCTGTTCTGCCAATGCTCCAGGCACATTCCTGCCTCAGGGCCTTTACATGATCCCTCAGCCTCGAAGGCTCTATCCTCGGATAACCACGACTTTCTTCTTCACCCTCTTCTAAAATTTGCTCTAAGGCCACCTTATTTTAAAATGTCTAACCCTCTCCATCTCCCCACTTCCTGTAGCATTCCCTATTCCCATTCCCAGCTTGATTTTTCATGATACTTACGACCTTCTTATATTGTTTACTGTCTATAACCTACCACTTTTCCCTCCCCCTGCCTCTATGAGGGCAGGAATTTCTGTCTTTTTTGTTTGCTTACTACCATATCCCCAGAACCTACCAAAGTGCTGGTGGCATAGTAGGTGCTCAATAAATATTTGTTGAATAAATGAAGTTTCCACTAAATAAAATACGCCACGTATTAAAGGTATCTCCCTCTAACTTTTACAGGCCCCTTTTTATTTTCTTTTATTAAATGGGTAAATATGTTTAAGAAAACTTTCTCCCCTATCCCTGTTCCCCTAGGCATCCAGCTCCTCCCACTTCCAAGCAGCAAACACTATTATAAGTTTTTATGTATCTTTCCAGAGTTATTTTATATTTATCTATAGGAAAAGAATACACAGTCTTCCTTGTCCCCCTGTGATTGAAATGGCAGTATACTAAACACACAATTTTACACCGTGCTTTTTTTTAATTCCCCAAATCCTGAAGATCATTACAGTACAGAAGAATCTTCCTTGTTCTTTTTAATGCTGCATGGTATTCCGCTGTCCGGATTTATCAGAGTTTACTTAACAGCCCCGTTGAGACACACGTCGGTTAACGACACTGCTGCAGGGAACAGTCGCGCGTATTCATCACTCCTCTCACTTCCCACATGTGCACATGGAGAATCCAAGCAGCACAACTGCTGGGCCTGAGCATTTGTGGGTTTTGATGGATATTGCTAAACTAACCCTCTATAGAAGCTGTACCAAGATATACTCCAAAAAGTGGTACACATATTATAAGTTAACTTTCATTTTTCAGAATAAATGTATTTCCAGAAAATTAGGTATACAGCAAATTATGAAAATACCAAAAGCCCAAAACTTAGTATTTTATTTATTTTGCAAGTCGTAAGCTCTGTAGAATAATATCTCAAAATAATGTCTTAAAGAACAATAGTCTTTAAATTGTTTTCACTTCTGTAATTATTGGCCAGATCATTTTTCAGATTTAAGATTTATATAAATTTTTTTTTAATATAATGAACTATAGATTAAAATTTCAGAAGTTAAATGTTATTACCACTTTGAGCTATGGATCAGTCTAGATTTTATGTCTATCCTTTCTTTCTGGTTCTGAGTCTTGATTTCTCTTTGCACTGATTTCTAAATTTACACAAAGGAGGTATCTGCATCACCTCTTTTGTAAAATAATATTAAGTCTGACAACAGTAGGTTGGCAAAGCTATTTGAAATCCTTGGCAGAAACATGACAGGCTTCATTTATTAATACTATTCTTTAAAGTTCATTTTTATAATTAAATTATCATCCAGAGTTAAGAAATGTACTTCCTACCAAGTATTTTTTCCAAGAATTACTGTGAATCCAGTCTTACCTCATGGTCTGGGTTTGGGATATTTTCCAATATCATTTTCGCCTGCTGAAAGTGCTTACTAGCTGCCACATACAGTTCTGGAGACTGAGGAGGAGGGCTGTATTTATTGAGGTCAGACATTTCCTAAAAAGAAAAGGGAAAGAATATTACTCAAAATGTGTTTAACACAAAAAAACTCTAAAATACCCTTTTTATAATTATCAAAGAATTCTACATTGACTATCCATTCATATATAATGAAGTGAAAACTCACCACATCTCCCTATTTTTTCCTATGTAATATTCAGTTCTCAACCCTCATACACTAGCTCATGTTATTCTCGTATCTTAAATACCTGCCATTTAAGGTCTGATAAATATGTTAAAATGTGATGAGTACATCCAACAAAGCCGGATAGTTTTCACACTATTTACACTGCTGTTGTATCACTTTGTCCCGCTATTCCAGTAAGCATTTGATTTGACTATTTTAAAAAAAGTCTTGGTACAAACAGCACATCTCTAAGAAGTCTAAGACTAAATATTCTTACAATTATTCCCATGAACAGGTTCACCTTGAACTGTAGATAGTGCACCGGTGGTGGTGTCATTACACTGTTGAAGGGAGCAAACCTATGTTCATATCGAACTTGTTCACTATCAAGCTCAAACTTGGGTTTTCGTACTTTGCCATCCATGTCAAACGCTACCATGGTCTAAAGGGAATGAGAAAGATGACGTCAATATGGAAAAGTGTACATCTTCCTTATAACAGGCTGAAAAACAAGAAACAGCTATGTATGGACAGCTAAAACTACTCATGGCTCAGAAATCAAAAACAAGAGAAAAACTGGCTTGTTAGCATTCATTTTTATTGTATGTGTCATCTTTTATATAAAAAATTTTCAAGTTCCGGTGTGTAATATATTACTGTTTTCCCACCACCTGTCTATCGGTTTGTTGTACTGTGATGGCTTGCATGTTGCTATGATGCTGGAAGCTATGCCACGGGTATTTCAAAGACCAGGAGGGTCACCCATGGTGGACAGGTTTCAGCAGAGCTTCTAGACTAAGACAGACTAGAAGAAAGGCCTGGCAATGTACTTCCAAAAATTAGCTAATAAAAATCTTATGGATTACAACAGAACAGTGTTTGACTCGTTTGCTTTGGACACATCATCAGGAAGGATCAAATGCTGGAGAAGGTCATCATGCTTGGTGAAGTAGAGGGCCAGTGAGGGTGAGGGGAGACCCTCGGTGAGACGGATTGGCACAACAGCTGCAACAACGGACTCGAACAATATGGCAATCGTGAGGATGACTCCGGACTGAGCAACATTTCATTCTGCTGTACGTAAGGTTGCCATGAATCACAGCAGACTCGATGGCAACTACCTATTTTTCCCCAATGAAATTAACTGTATTACATGCACACATATTCTTTGATGTTTCATATTTCTGTAACAGCTTCAAAACTTTCAAGTAAAAGCTTCTGCAAAAATAAGTAGCATATAACTTTTATAAGAAAAGCACACGTTCCGTTTTCAAATGTAAGTCCATATTCTGTTTGATATATTTTAATATAAGTTGTCTCAAATCCTTTCTTAAATTGCAAGTACAACTAAAGAGTTAGTGTTCTCTACCTCCTGAAAATGCCTGCTTTTCCTTAAGCCATTCATTGTGATGCGCACCTCCTTCCTAATATACTCCCCCAAAAAACCCCTCCAAACCCCATCTCTTCCAAGAAATCTTTCTTGATCATCGATCAGAAGTAAATATTCCTTCTCTTACTGCCTGTGTCAAATATATGTCACCTGCCCTGTCTGTCACTAACTAGGCACTTGCGAGCAAGGAGGACATCTCATTAGACTTGGTGTGGGTACCTGACACACAGCAAGGGTTCAAACAGTTGTTGAATAAATTAATGAAAACAACTAGACTTGAAAACAGGTAATCTTCAAGTAGATGGGAAGCAAAACAAAGATGAAATTAGAACCCAGAATCACAGAAACGAGTTCATTTTTAATTAAAACTACACAATAGCACTGTCGTTAAAGAGGAAAAATAACTTAGTTTTCAACAAGTTACCTTAAACATTCCAGCACACATGTTCTGATATGCCTGGCTCATTGTGATCTCTCGGCTCAATGGGCGAACTGTAATGAGAAAGAAAACCATCCAAACTTTTTTTCCCCTGCTCCTGCATTACTGCAAGAGAAAATCTAATTTTAACAAACTTTCCAGTTTACTAAATCAAAACATCAAACAGTTTTCTCCTACAGGCTAAATTTTGAGGTCAAAATCTACAAATAATAAAATACAAAAGAAAAGCTAAATAGCCATGTTCCCAAAATAGCTAATACCATAAAACTCTAGTAATGAAGCAATTTTAACTTCCTCTGAATTCACCATACTGAGACGTAACTTCTTATATTGCAAACCCACAAATACAGTCATTTAATGACCCACCCAAACTGTTTAAATCCTAAGGAAATACAAAGTAGTATTTTATAAGGATTGTAGTCATATCTATACCCTTCCCTGAGTGACCAACTGGCCATCCCTTTGAAACATTTCTCATTTCTCAAGAGTTCTTGGATGAAGCCTCAAGTGCTCTGTGTCAACTCTCTAACAGCACAACTTCGGATCTAATTCCCTCCTAAGCTGTCAGGCGTCTGTCAAAAGAAGATCTGCTGTCTTGTTCCCTAACCTGTCTTGCTTGTTCACTCCATGTGGCTACTTCTCGTCCTAAGATCCTCTGATACAAGGAGCAGCAAAGAAGTAAAATAAAAGCAAGGAAAGGAACCAAGAAGCCTACATGACTAACGGTAGAACTCTGTCTCTACCTTACACTTTCTGACGGAAAAATGGGCAAGAACTAATAAATATAATGACTGACCCATCACAACTCATGAGTAGATCTCTACCTATTTATCTGCAGAAATTAAAGTATACCCCAATGTTCTTTATTTCTTAAAAAATAATCCACAGCACCTTTCTTCTTTTTCTTTGTTTTTTTACTGCTACGGCCTTTCTGCTGCTCTTCCATTATCCTTTCCTCAGCCATTTGAGAGCCATCAGCACGACTCAATGTCGACATCAACCAGGCATAAAGGAATTCAGAGAGATACCTTAAAGGATTCAAAGTGTTAGTTAAAAGGAGATGATGTCCAAGTGAGATAACTTCATCAACAGATGCACTGTTATTAATAAGGAGGTACTTGCTTACAATAGTTTCAAAGTTGTTTTTTTTTTTCTTTTTAAAAATCAGATTATCCAATTAGATAATTGATAGATCTTACAAGAAATGAGTATTATAAGTGACTAACTTTCCCTCTTTGCTGCCGTATCTGTACAATTTCAGTTTAATTTCCTACAATGATGTGCATTTCACAATTTTTCAAAAAGTTTCTTTATATAAATGTATGTGTATACACCGACACACACATATACACACATATACATACATACATAAATCTAATGAATGCCCATTAAAACATTTTTACTATATTAGGACAAATTTAATCTTAATCTATTGAATATTTTCTTTGCCTGTCAATCACAAAAGGAAACAAATAAATTCAGAAAAAGATAAAAATTTGTATTCTATAAAACCACTGTAAGAAATTAAGAACATTCAGGCTTATATTTTACTTGAGTTTATTCAATAAATGAAATGCAAAATAGGAATATTCTACCAGATACTAATTTTTCAAAACTTAACATTCTCTTCTGTGAAGCCAAAAAAGGAGTTCAAATCTAGGATATGGATAGATATAATCTGAAATATAATCCATAACAAACAAAACTAAGGACCACTACTATGTTAAGCAAAAACCAAAGATTTGCAAGTTATTATTATGATGAAGTTTGAGTATATAATGTCTATTTCCAAAATATCCCTAAAAGATGTAAGGCAGGATACAATCTTGAAACACATATAAAAGAGAACATGTTAAAGCAGAACAAAAACTACTCAAAAGATATACCTGTAATGACTAAGTTCTGTATTTTAAAGCTAAACCAAGCACTATGCTTCCCGGCAGCTAAGGCAAAATGGAAAATATCTTTTTATCTGATAAAAAGAAGCATATAATTTCATATAGAGACAATAATTCCTGGCACTGAGTTTTGTCCCCTATCACTCTACAAAATCTAGGGTCTATATCTTATAGCTAACGCTGCCTACTGATTATCTACTCTAAGGACAGTTGAGTGAAGGGGATAGCTGACATGATGCAGGCATTTCCTCTCAACTATCAGATCTCTCAATGAGCTTTTATTAAGTGCTTTATCAAAATTAATTCACAACTGTAATACCTAAGGGGCTGACACTCTATGCCAGTGGTTCTCAAAGAGTGACCCTTGAACAGCAGCAGCATCACTTGGAAACTAGTTAGAAATGCAACAATTGGATCCCCACACTAATCCGTTGCTGTCAAGTCGATTCTGACTCACAGTGACCCTATAGGACACAAGAGAACTGCCCCAAAGGGTTTCCAAGGAGCAGCTGGCAGATTTGAACTGCTGACCTTTTGGTTAGCAGCCGAGCTCTTAACCACTGCGCCACCAGGGCTCCAGGTCCCACCCTAGACGTACTAAATCAGGAACTGCATGGATAGGGCCCAGCAATCTGTGCATTAACATGATTTCAAGTGATTATGATGAACACTAAAGTTTCATCACCGTTTTCTACTGTTGGTTTTAAAAGGGTCCACATGCTTTAGGGATCATATTCATGAACAACAACAACAAAAAATTATCTTGTGAAAATGTAGGAGCCCAATCTGTAATTTTGAGACCCAAAAGGAGTTCAAAACTAAAAAGAAAGTAGACCAAGGGTGCTTATAGACAGAACTAAAATTTCTCTCCTTGGGGAGAATGAAGAAAACAAGATACAAGGGAAAGATGAGTCCAAAGGAATAATGGACCACAACTACCACAGCCTCCACCAGACTGAGTCCAGTACAACTAGATGGTGTCCGGCTACCACCACTGACTGCTCTGACAGGGATCACAACAGAGGGTCCTGGACGGAGCTGGAGAAACATGTTGTACAAAATTCTAACTCACAAAAAAAGACCAGACTTACTGGTCTGACAGAGACTGGAGACCCCGAGATTATGGCCCCCAGACACCCTTTTACCTCAGTAATGAAGTCACTCCCGAGGTTCACCATCCAGCCAAAGATTAGACAGCCCCATAAAACAAAACGAGACTAATGGGGCACAACAGTCCAGGAACAAGGACTAGAAGGCAGGAGGGGACAGGAAAGCTGGTAATAGGGAACCCAAGGTCGAGAAGGGAGAGTGTTGACATGTCATAGGGTTGTTAACCAATGTCATAAAAGAATGTGTACTAATTGTTTGAGAGACTATTTGTTCTGTAAACCTTCATCTAAAGTACAATTAAAAAAAAAAAGGGACAGGAGCTGGTTGAATGAAAACAGAAAATTGGGGTGGAAAGGAGGAGTGTGCTATCACATTAGAGGGAGAGCAACTAGGGTCACATAATAATGTGTGTATAAATTTTTGTATGGGAAACTAACTTCAACTGTAAACTTTCACTTAAAGCACCAAAAAAAAAAAAAAAAGGTTGGAGGTTCCAGTCCACTCAGAGGCACCTCAAAAAAAATAAAAATAAATATCTTTCCTTGAAAAGAAATGAATCTCCTCAAGTATGTAAATTTGTAATGGAGTATTTATCATTCATTTGCTGAGTAAAGATCCCATTTCTTTGTGCAAAAAAGCATGTAAAAAATTGTACTTTGATTTTTGAAATGAAGACCAAAACCTCCCAATTAACTGCCTTAAACCACAAAAGAAAGAACTTGCGCATGTTCCTCTATAAAATGTTTGATTTTGAAATGCTGCACAGGACTGTCTACTAATACTCATGGAGACGCCATGTGTGCTCCATAGGGTTTTCCTGGCTGTGACCTTTCAGAAACAGATAACCAGTCCTTTCTTCTGCAGTGCTGCTGGGTAGGTTTGAACTGCCAACCTTGTAGTAGTCCAGTGCACTCTGTCTCTACAGATTTGTCTTTCCTACTTTCAGACAAATGGAATCATACAGTATGTGTTCAGTTAAACATATGCCACAACTAGTACCTAGTGCCACTGAAGTCAGGGCAGAATGGGTGTTAATTCTCCCTTTCCCTCCCTCCCAGAAGCAGAAAAAGGCTCTTTAATTAATCCATTTACCTTGGAGCAACTTTTACTACTACTTTTTTTAGTAAATATTCAAATGGTTAAAAAAAATTGTATTTGTACAGTGCTATGACACTTCAGAGCTGTTCAAGATGATCTAGCTCTAATTTTCAATATTCTTCCAACTGTCTTACAACTAAAGTTAAAATACACATGAAAAAGTGCCCTGAAATTACGCTGTTTTGCAAATCTTATCCACCCACCCACCAACTTTACTACAAACTGTTCTCTTACCAATATATGTAGTAATACTCGTGCATGCTGTAGAGTTCCAATTCAAAGCCGCTTAGAAGATACTGTATCATAATTCGAAGGTTGTGGTAAAGGACCCAGGTACCTAAACAGGCCAAATGTTGCCTTTGGGGTTCTTGTTTCAACAGCATAGTGTGAAGTGCTGCATCAACCTTCTCTGCCTATCAGAAGAAGTTGTCAAAACATTGACTTTTTTTTTTTAAGGTAATGAGAACTTACAAAAAATAAACAGCTATAAATAACGTATGAGCAGAAATGTCAATCTCACCACCCAAGAACTCATACTTTCAAATGCATTTTTGGTTAAGCTCACATTCAAGTCCCTCATCTCACGCTGGTTGACATTTACATCAACACTCCTTAAACTAAAAACACATCCATTTTATAGAGGACAAAATATGAACAACTGATTTCAGGTCTTTAGTTATCAGTTAATGTTGTCGCTGCTCACAAATTTATTTTAAAATTAATATATTTTTATTATGTGAGTTTGCTACAAAATTATAATTCTACACTTATTTCATAATTTATCCTGACTGTCAAAGAAATAACTTATGATGTTTGTCAGTTTGGATTATTGTTTTCTTTCAAACTCTTTGGTATATGAAACTGTTACATCGTAAGTGACAAGTAAGTTTAACATACTAAAAAATTAATCAAAATACTGTTCCAAAGATTCTTTAAAAATCTGGTCAAGGTGTGTGAATTGCTTAAATTTAGAATTGAGGGGAACTTCTTGACTCTTACCTCATCTTGTAAGGTAGCAAATTCCTCAAGAATATGACCGAGCTTATCTCTCTGTCGAGCCCTGTTATGTCCGTGGATCTGAATAAGACTACAGAATGGCTGCAACACACACACAAGTTGTTACCTGTCAATATGAAACTTCCTGATAATTAAAGAAATTTAACATTCCATCTTTTCAAAATTTGGTTTAAGGGGAAAGGACACTGTACATATAAAAATCATGCCTATGTTCATAACACAGTTTATAAAGACAATGTTCTACATTCTACCTTGCTGAGTAGCGTCTGGGGTCTTAAAAGCCTGTCAGCAGCCATCTAAGATACTCCACCGGTCTCATCCCTTCGGGAGCAAGGGAGAATGAAGAGAACAGGATACAAGGAAAAGATTAGTCCAAAGGACTAATGGACCACAGCTACCAAGGCCTCCACCAGACTGAGTCCAGTACAGCTAGATGGTGCCTGGCTACCACCACTGACTGCTCTGACCAGGATCACAACAGAGGGTTCTGGACAGAGCTGGAGAAGGATGTAGAACAAAATTCTAACTCACAAAAAAAAGACCAGATTTACTGGTCTAAAGGAGACTGGAGAAACCCCGAGAGTATGGCCCCAAGACACCCTTTTAGCTCAGTGGTGAAGTCATCTCCGAGGTTCACCATTCAGCCTGAGAGTGGACAGCCCCATAAAACCAAATGGGACTAATGAGGTACAGCAGTCCAGGGACAAGGGCCAGAAGACAGACGGGGACAAGGAAGCTGGTGATAGGGAACCCAAGGTTGAGTAAAGATAGTGTTGATGTGTTGTGAGATTGTTAACCATTGTCATAGGGCAACATGTGTACTAACTGTTAAGAAGGGAGAGGGTTGACATGTTGTGGGGTTGTTAACCAATGTCATAAAACAATGTGTAATACTGTTTCATGAGAAACTATTTGTTCTGTAAGCCTTCATCTAAAGTGAGAATAGCAGCACAATTGGAAGAGCATAGTGAAGGGAGAGGGTTGACATGTTGTGGGGTTGTTAACCAATGTCATAAAACAATGTGTAATACTGTTTCATGAGAAACTATTTGTTCTGTAAGCCTTCACCTGAAGTACAATTAAAAAAAAAAAAATCATGCCTATGTTTATTTTTTACACAGGCATTTATTTTTAAGAACCTGAACACCAGAATTTATTAATAGCTACAAGAAAGTGGCTGTATGTGAAACTTCATGTGGCAAAAGTATTTTCCTTCAATCTGTAGGTACATCCCTGCAATTTCCAAAGGACAGTTTCTTTTCTGCTTATTTCATACTAAAAGCCAGCATTCCAGATTGACATTTCTGTGCTGCTTTAAATATCCAGAATGTAGTTAATTATAAGGCTTGAATAATGGCTGATACCTGTATATCCTGACACTAGGTTCTCCTACTCCTACTCTCTCTATGCAGTATTCTCATATAAAATACTCTAACACTTCAATAATCAGACAACAGGCATGGGCGGCAAGATGCCTGGATTTAAGAAGTATGAACTATAAGGTTCTGTAAAGTATGCTGTTGTTGTTAGGTGCCGTTCAAGCTGGTTCCGACTCATAGCGACCCTATGTACAACAGAACGACGCAGTGCCCAGTCCTGCGCCACCCTCACAATCGTTGTTATGCATGAGCCCACTGTTGCAGCCACTGTGTCAGTCCATCTCGTTGAGGTCTTCCTCTTTTTCGCTGACCCTCTACTTTACCAAGCATGATATCCTTCTCCAGGGACTGGTCCCTCCTTTAGGTATAATACTGTTTTATATCTGTATACTCTGACAGATATTATCTCATTTGCTCAAGAATTACTCAATAAGAAATAAAGAGGAGGTTCTGCATTTCACTTTTTAACGACTGAGAAATTTACAGTAAAGTAAAGTGATTGATCTACTTCATAACAATAAAATATTAGTAATAAAAATAAAATCTGGTCTTCTATTGATTCTCCTTTCACCACACCATGCTGCCTTCCTATATAGATATTTGTAACTGCAATCAGGTCCCAAAGAGCTGCCTGGTTGAGTTCTCCAAGAACTAATAATAATTAAATAAAAATTACTTATAATTAACTTGATCCACTACAAGGTTTGCATTTTTTCCTAATTACTTAAGATTTGATTTTAATTTTACTATAATCCTGTTCATTAAGGTAGCACAAAGGTAAGTGGATAGGGACATTACATCAAATATTGCTAGTTCAAAAAGACAAAAAAAGTTTTCATGTCCATTTACAAAAAACTTTGAAGAAACAACTGCTGTTGAAAAAGTTTGGGGTCATAACTTATTCTGTTTCTGTGGTCCCTTAGGGTTACTGTGAGGGGTCATCAAAAGTTGCCTTTCTGTTTAACAACCTGCCAGGAAGACTACATGTGATGAAGCCATCCACTGAAGTGCAGATAGTGAGAAGACAGAAATTTTTTATTTATTCAGTTAAAATGGATATGAGATATCAGATGAAAAACAGCACAAATTAATGATACCAAAGAAATTAAACCCCACAATTTTTAAAGTGCCCAACACAGTGATCTAAATTATAGTTCTTACCCGAACACAGTGAGTAACAAAGGAGTCAATACAGTCCTTAGCCTGGTGATTATTATATAGGCAGCACCTGTAAGATAACAGTCACCTCATTAAAATCAAACTATTTGGCCTAGACAAAAGCAGCAGTGATTACTGCAGGTGCTACTAACAGATGGGGAAGGTGGAAATTAAGGGAATGGAATAAAGAGAAAATGGAACCAAATCCATCACTAAGTTGAAGACTGCTAGCATTATATTAAGAATATTCCAGTATGACTCTGTTGTTCACACAATAAATGTACGATATTTCCATTCCTTCAGTTCTATATTTGGACAACTAGAGTTGGACCCAATAAGATCAAGTTATGGAGAAAAGGAAAGGTCTAAAGCGCCACTTTTTCATGAGCCTGCATGTCATGAATTTTCTTATAACTGATATCTTCATGGATTATTCTCAACAGTAATTACAAAGAAAACACTATACACAATGCTAACTTTTTCCAATGTTTCCATGTTTCCAACCACTGGCTGTAAATCACCACCTGCACATCCCGCTAGTACCTTCTGTCCTCACCAGGTGGCGCCTCCTGCAGTGTCCTCATCTCATACCACTCTGACATTATCTGTTTATCTATTGTCTAGTTTCTCCTACTAGAACGTAAGCTTCTTGTAAGCAGGTGTTTTGGCCTCCTTTTCCCTAGAACTCAGAAAGACACCTGGCAATAATAGCAGGTACTCAATAACAATTTATTAAATGAGGAAACTGATAAAAATAAAATTAATTAATAAAAATGTTGCTTAAAATGGATGGTGGTACAGGTGTCTGTCATAGGTTATACATTTCTATATATTTGATATACTTCATCATTAAAAATTTTAAAATAACTTTAAAAATATGAAGAGAAAGGACACAAAAACCCAATAATAAACTGAAAATAAGTATTAAGTCCCCAGAAGTTGGTGGGGTGGGGGTGTAAGGAGTAGGAAGTATGAGTGTTCTACAGTCTCATCTTACTGGGTAGGGGAGGGCGAACAGTGGGGAAATGGAGCCCCTTGGTGGTGAGAGATAGATGGTATCTTGTTTCCATAAAGTTGTAGAAAAATGTGCGTTTGGTTGTAAATCTCTGGGATGGCAGCGTAACTACTTAGAGAAAGGAAAGATGTAAAAGAACTTCCAAACTGAGAAAAAAAGAAAATGAATAAAAATTAGATCAAACCAGGAAAAATGAGAAAAGTGGACGGGAGGTTAAAGAACAAAGAAAATAACTAGTAGCCAGATTAAGGAGGAAAAATTAAAATGAAATAACAATACTACAATTGTTACACCAAATGTGAACAGGCTGAATTCCACTTTAAAAGATTACAAGACTATCAAGCATTAAAAACAAAACCCAGTTAAACACTATGTAAAAAAAACATTAAAGCAGAGCGATAAAAGATGGGCTTAAAAATAAAAGAATGGCTAAGTCAAATTTAAAAAAGAAAAAAGCATGAATGGTAATATTAACATGAAATAAGGTGGTACTTAAGGTTGAAAGCATTAAACATGGCAAAGAGGGACAATGCATAATGATAAAAGGCACAACCGATGAGGTCCAGTATAACTAGTTAAAATTACATGCACCAAAGCAGCAGCTAAATGTATAAGGCACACACTATTAGCAATGCAAGTAGAACACAGGAAGAGTAAATTATTACTCTGTGTGTGCATATGTTAGAGAGAGTAAGAAAGAAAACATACAGACATACACACACATAAAATAAGACACTGTTCCGAATTAGGCAGATCTAATAAGAAAGAAATTGGATAACCCTATTAACAAACTCAATTAAATAGATGAATATCAAACTTTACATCCTAAGAGACAAGAATCTGTTTTTCTTAAATGTATAACAGGCATGAAAATCCATCATGTACTTGGTCACAAAAAAAATTGTTAATTCAAAAAAAAAAAAAAAAAAAAAAAAACAGTACGATGATAACTGAAAGTTGCTATTCAGCATTGTTTTAGAGATTCTATCGAAGCAATGATACAAAATGAAATAATCAGTGGAAACAGAGGAAAATAAAAGATAAAACTATCTCTTTTTGGGAAAAGATATTCTATTCATCATAACAGCAATAGCGGCAACAACAGAAGACAAAGACAAAACAATAGGAAACAAAAACAAAAATCGTAACAAATAAACCAGGGATATATTTATAACAAGTATATATAGGACTCACACGAAGAAAATAATTGAAGGACATAAAATAATACAATGCCCGTTGGTTAGACAATTTAATATACATGAAAATGTCAACCTTGGAAAGGTTAATATATAATTTAATTCTGATTAGAATTCCAATCCTTTTTAGAACTGCATAAAATTATCTTAAAATTTATACGCAAGAATGAATACCACAGAAGAGACAAAAAAATCCTGAAAAAGAAAAGGTATAGGAAGACATATATCTTAATAGATATTAAAACTTAAGACCAAGTCACAATAATAATTTAAAAACATTATTTTGTCATCGCAACAGAAACAAATCCTAACACATAGACGGAATTTTAGAGTAAAATACAGAAGGTATTTTAATACAGAGAAAAATGATGGTTTATAGAAGATGATCATCCAACTGGCTATCCATCTAGTATGAAATAAAGTAGAATCTCTATCATTATACCATTTATAGGAAACAATTCCTAAAGGATTAAAGAATATACAGAATAAAACCATAGTAATCTTTAGGAGGTTTAAGTGACTAAAAAATATAACCTATAGTTTGAGGAGAATGATTTACCCCAAACAAGAATCCCAGAAATTATAAAGGACAAAAAAAATTAGACAAAAGTTGTTACATAAAAGGTAAAAATTTTGATGTGGCAAAGGAAAGACTAAGGAAAAAAAATATCTTCAATGGCTATCACACATAAAGGATTAACCTTTCACAATATACAAGGAGCTCTTACATATTTTCAAGAAAAAAAATAAACCACTTAATAAAAGCCAATGGGCAAAGGATATAAATAAGTAATTCATAAAAAAAATTCTAAACGTCAGTAAAGATTGTATTAAGTGCTCAAATTACAGTAACAATGAGATATCACTTCTCATTCTACACACTGGGAAAAATTGGAAGAATGATAACACCTACTGCTGGTGGGGAGTTAGGGAACATCTATCTACCCAGTAACTTCATTCCTTAGCATACAGTCACATAATGAAATATCTGGCAGCCATTTAAAAGAACTAGTTAGATCTACATCATGTAATTTGAGACATAAAGCCATGATGTATCATTGTGTGAAAACAAAGAGTTTTATAAATAAAAATTTTTTAATTAAAATAATTTTTTTTTAAACTCACAAAAAAAATAATTAAAAATTCAAGATAAAAACAGCCTGTTTAATGTGATCCCATTTGTATCAAGTTATATATGTATGAAGGAGCCCTGGTGTCCCAATGATTAAGTGCTCGGTTGCTAACCAAAAGGCTGGTAGTTTGAACCCACCCAACGGCTCTGCGAAAGAAAGACCTGGAGATCTGCTCCTGTAAAGATTACAGCCTAGAAAACCCTCTGTCACATGGGGTCGCTATGCATCAAAATTGACTCAATGGCAGCTAACAACAACAGCATATATTTACACAAAGGCATCTAAAGTGATGGTTATCAAAATGTAATCTCAGGGGATTTCAGGTGATTTTTACTATCTTTCATATACTTTTCTGTACTGTTTGAATTTTGGAGCATGCCATTAAGTATTTATATAATCAGCTTCCTTAAAAAACAAAAATTTAGCTGTCTTACCAAGGCCTCCACCGGACTGTGTCCAGTACAGCTAGATGGTGCCTGGCTACCACCACTGACTGCTCTGACCAGGATCACAACAAAGGGTTCTGGACAGAGCTGGAGAAGGATGTAGAGCATAATTCTAACTCACAAAAAAAAGACTAGATTTACTGGCCTAAAAGAGACTGGAGAAACCTTGAGAGTATGGCCCCCAGCCACCCTTTTAGCTCAGTAGTGAAGTTACCTCCGAGGTTCACTGTTCAGCCTGGGAGTGGACAGCCCTGTAAAACCAAATGAGACTAACGAGGTACAGGAGTCCAGTGACAAGGGCCAGAAGGCAGAAGGAGACAAGGAAGCTGGTGATATGGAACCCAAGGTTTAGTAAGGATATTGTTGATGTGTTGTGAGATTGTTAACTACTGTCACAGGGCAACATCTGTAGTAACTGTTAAATGAGAAACTATTTTGTTCTGTAAGCCTTCATCTTAAGTGAGAATAACAGCACAATTGGAAGAGCGTAGTCAATGTCACTGAACTGTGTATGTAGAAATTTTTGAAATGGTGTATCTTTGGCTATGTGTATTTTCACCAAAAAAAAAAAAAAAAGGTTGAGAATTTAGAGGGTTAATATGTTGTGGGGTTGTTAACCAATGTCATAAAACAACATGTGTACTACTGTTTCATGAGAAACTACTTGTTCTGTAAGCCTTCACCTGAAGTACAATAAAATAAAGAAAAAAAAAATTTAGCTGTCTTTTCCCTTTCCTTCCTCTACTGAATCCGTTGTCACATCCTATTAATTTTACCTCAGAAATGCTTCTCAAACCTGTCTTCTCCTTTACATTCCCAGAAGTTAAGCCTTCATCATCTCTCACCTATACTGCACAAAACAATCTATCTAAACTCTGCCTCCAATCATCACTCCTTCTCACTCCCAGTTTGCTTCCTATTAAAAAATACAAACCCAACTCGGCCAATTTCCTGCTAAAAACTTTTAGTAGTTGCTCACTGACCACAAATAAAGTTCAAACCTTACCAAAGCACTCAAGACTCTCCCAAGTCTTCTCCAAAACTATCTTACCACCCAACTCCCATTTGTTTTTCAGTCAAGTTCTTACTGAATGCTTACTATGTGTCGGACATCCTGTGTATCAGTGAACAAATTGCCAAAATTGCCTGCCCTAACTCTGTGGAGCTTATATTCTAATGGTGGACAAAGGAGAGATAGAAAATAAAAATAATGAAGAAGTAAATTATACAATATGTGAGAAGAAAAATGTTATGTAAGAACTGGGGTGCTGGGTTGGGGAGCAGGGGGTGGTAGCAATTTTTAAATAGGGTGGCCAAGGTAGCCCTCATGGAGGTGACATGGAACAGGCTTGAAGGAGGTGAGGGAGTTAGCCCTGGGGATTTCGGAAGAGAGTGTCCCCATCCCCTAGCCTATGTAAAGGCCCTAGGGTGTGAGAGCACCTGTACGTTCTAGGAACACGAAGGTGGCCAGTGTGGCTGAAGATGAGATCAGAGAGGAGGCAGGACGGGTCTAGACTAGATCATATTGAGCCTTACAGGCTGTTATAAGGACTTTGGCTTTTACTGTGAATGAAATGGGGAATGTAACAATCGCTAAGCATACCTGGGAAATAACACCCTCCCAGGAGCAGCCCTTAATTAACTGACAGGTGTATGGGCTAAATATTCAAGCTCCCTTGTGAGCGAAAACGAGGGAGACCCTCAATGAGATGGACTGACACAGTGGCTGCAACAATGGACTCAACATAACAATGACTGTGAGGATGGTGCAGGACAGGGAAATATTTTGTTCTGTTACACATAAGGTTGCTGTAAGTCAGAACTGACTTGATGGCACCTAAAACCACCACCAACAGGAGCAGCCCTTAATCAACAGTTGTGTGGGCTAAATACTCAAGCTCCCTTGTCCCCGACTAGGACAACTCTTGAGTTGTGACCTACACTGTCTCAGGAGTGCCCCTGCGGAGCTGAACCAGTTACTTTCCATGGAGCCATGGGAATGTGCTTTATATAGTGTACCTCTGCATGGCTTTCTTCCTTTTCATCTTCCACTTGCCCACAACCCTGCTGATATCTCCTAGGATCACTTCCTAAACTACGTTTACATGAATCCTTGTCTCAGGGTCTGCTTCTGGGGAACCCGACCCAAGACGCGAGGCTACCAGAGCATGTTACAGGAGATGTGATGTGATTTTCTCCACAAATTGCTGGTGAGAATGCTGAACCAGTAAGTATTCGCACAATATGTAATTTCATACTCCTGTGTCTTCACACACGCTGGCTTGTTTGCTACAAAATAATGACTTTCTTCCCTCCCCATCAGAAAAGCCCTGCTCATTTCTCAAAATGCCAACTCAGACGATAATTCTTTCTGCATTAAATCTGTTCCAGCCTCTTATAGACAGCATACCTTTAGGGTTTTGCCTGTATCAGAACAGAGTATAAGTATCAGTTATCTGTAGTTCTGATTTGTATCTAGACTTAGAGACCTGATCTTATTTTTTACAACTGTTCCCAGAATGCCTAACACAGTGCTTTGCACAAAGGTCCAATACAAGTGTCTGAATTTCTGGTAACTCCTAAGTTTTTCTTTTCATATTGGACAAATTACCTAATTTCAATCTCACAAAAGCCTCATTATAATCTGAACAATATGTGCAACAGATAGTTAATTTTAACATGACTGAATTTTTTTTTACATGGAGATCTGTCCTCATGGCTGGCTGTAAGGAGTACGGCGAGTCCAGCTCCCGCAGAAACACACGTATCGCAGAATGTCTCACGGTACTTACTTGGGAGAAAGCACCGGAGGACTGACAAAAGACCGAAGGGCATCTTTCACCATGTCTTGCATTAGATGAGTTCCAAAAACCTTTTTGTTATCCACCAGGAAAGTGGTCTTAAAACAAATATTATGTATTAGTAATGCTGTTACACCTTGACATTATTTTACATATAGCTGCCACTACTGTGACATGAGTGTACTTCTTACAAATAGCATTGAATACAAAAGTGATTAAAATAAGTTGGTGGAAACTTTTTATAAATCATTGCCTCTACAATGGGAGCTACTTATTAATCCCTATTTAAGGTTAACTCTGATGCAGGGGAATAAAAAAATTTCCAGAAAAATACCTGTCAAGTCAAGAGTAGTAACATTAAATTGAATTAGTCAGTAAACCGACAAGTTTAAAGCCAAATGAGCTAATATATGAGAAAGGGTTTCATAAACTATGAAATATTAAATGGCCATAAATACTGTCACCCAATAATCCTTCTAATGAAAGCTTTACAATACATATAAAACTTTTGAAATGGAAAAAAAAGCACATTTAAATTAACAACTTCCATATAATTTTCTTCCCTTAACAACTGCAGTGTATTTTAATATTTAATATACCATACCTTGCTTGAATTCCTAATTCAGAATTTTAAAACTCTGAAAATGTACATAAAGTTTACTTTTCTGTTGTACAGTTTGATTTTGACAAACACTTACACATGTAACCACCACCATAATCAAGATACAGAATGATTCCATCACCCCAAAAATATTCCCTCATGTGATCCCTTTGTAGTCAAGTCCTCTCCACACCCCTAGTCGCTGGTACTACTGATCTGTTCTCCTTCTCTATACTTTTTTGCCTTTTCTAGGACGTCATTAAAATGGAATCATACAGCCTTCTGAGTCTGGCTTCCTTCACCGAGCACAGTGCACCTGACTCATCTACACTGATGAGTCTATCAATAGTTCATTCCTTTTTATTAGTAGTATGTCACTGTGTGCATGTACCACAGTTTTTTTATTCTTTCACCAGCTGAAGAATGTTTGGGTCACTTCCAGTTTGGGCAACCACATACAAAATGGCTATAAACATTCACATACAGGTTTCTATGAGAACATAAATTTCCATTTCTCTTGGGTAAAAGTAGGAGTGGGGTTGCTGGTTGTACGGCAAATGTATGTTTTATTTTATAAGACTCTACCAAACTATTTTTCACAGTGGTTGTGCCCTTTACATTCCCATCAGCAATACATTACTTCTTTTTTTTTATTTTTTTAAGTTTTGGGTTTTTTTTTTTTTTAAAGATATTCTGAAAAGTGGGTATCTCATGGTTTTAATCTGCATTTCCCTAATACAAATGATGTATCTTTTCATATGCATATCTGCTATCTATATTTGAAGTGTTCAGTTTTTCGCCCATTCCAAACACTGGGCTATCTGTTTTCTTACCGTTAACTTCACAGAGTTCTTTGTGTGTTCTAAATACAAGTCCTTTGTCAGACATATGATCTGCAAATATTTTTTTCCCACTGTGTAGTGTCTCTTTTCATTTTAACAATGTTTTTCATGGAATAAAAGTTTTAAATTTACCAATTTTTTAAAATGGATTGTGCTTTTGTTGTCTGTTTTCCCCAAGATCACAAAGATTTTCTTCTATCCTTTCTTCTCAGTCTTATAGTTTCACATTTTATACTTAGGTTTATGATACATTCCAAGTCATTTTTTTTGCATATGCATGTCCAATTGTTCATCCACTATTTGTTGAAAAGACTATCCTTTCTTCATTAATCTGCTTTTGTGCCTTAAGTCAAAATTAATCAACCATATTGGTTGCTGATAAATTAACTGACCATATTGGTCTATTTCTGAGCTTTCCCTCTGTTCCACTGACCTCTGTGACTACATTTCGCGAATACCACGCCTGTCTTACAAACAGGTAGGAGGAGTTCGGCAATGTTCTTTTTTTTTTTTTCAAAACTGTTTGGCTGTTCTACTTTCTTTGCTTTTCCATATAAATTTTAGGATCAGCTAGACAAAATTTACATAAATTCCTACTGTGATTTTCACTGGGACTGCTCTGAATCTGTAGATCAACCTGGGGAGATCTGACATCTTAAAAATATCAATTCTTCCAATCCATGAACAAGGTACGTATCTCCATTTATTTAGGTCTTTCATCAGTGTTTTGTAGTTTTTCAACATACATGTCCTACATATAAGCAGTTAGATTTATACCTGAGTATTTTGTTTTTGAAGTTATTATAAACAGTACTGTTTTTAAATTTTTTATTTCCTATTGTTCATTGTGAGCAGTCCTCATGGCTCAGCTGCTAATGGAAAGGTCAAAGCAGTTCGAATCTACCAGCCGCTCCACAGGAGAAAGATGTGGCAATTTGCTTCCATAAAGACTGCAGCCTTGGAAATCCTATGGAGCAGTTCTACTCTGTCCTACAGCACAGCTATGAGTTGGAATTGCTCAATGGCAAAAGGATTTTTTTGGTATTGTTCATTGCAAGTATACAGAAACACAATTTCTTTTTTGTATATTGGCCTCATATCCTGTGACCTCATTAAACTCACCAATCAGTTCTAGGAACATTTTGGTAGATAACTTGGGACTTTACACAGAAAATCATGTTATCTGTAAATAGAGAATTTTATTTCTTCCTTTCCAATCTTCTTTTTCTTGTTTTTACTGCACCAGCTAAGATTTCCACTACAATGTTAAACAAGAGAGTGATAAAAGCAGACACCCTTGTCGTTTTCCCAATCTTAGAGGGCAAATATTTAGTGTTTCATCATTAAGTATGTTGTCAGCCATAGGCTTTTTGTACGTTTTATCAGGTTAAGGAAGTTCTCTTTCTATTCCTAGTATGTTGTGAGTTTTTATCGTAAGCGGATGTTGAATTTTGTCAAATGTTTTTCCCGAGGCTATTAAACATTAGACTGTACGGTGAATTACATTTATTGATTTTTGAATGTCGAACTAGTGTTGCATTCTTGGGATAAACCTCACTTGGTCATGATGTATTATCTTTTTTTATGTATTACTAGATTTAATTTGCTAATACTTAGCTGAAGATTTTTGTGTCTATATTCATAAGCAATGGTACTGTAGTCTTCTTTTCTTGCAATGTCTTTGTTTCATTTTGGTATCAAGTTAACGCTGGCCTCTTAAGAGCTAAGAAGTATTCCTGCCTCTTCTATTTTCCGAAAGAGACTGCAGAACTGGCCTGGAGTTGGAATATTTATAACTAACAATTGAATTTCTTTAACAGGTATCAGACTGGTTAGATTATCTATTTCTCTTGGGTGAGTTTTGGTAGTTTTGTGTCTTTCAAGATATTAGTCCATTTCATGTAAGTTTTTGAATTTATGATGTTTGTAATATTTCCATTATTATCCTTCTAATGCTTGTATGGTTTGTTATGAAAGTCTCTCTCTCATTCCTGATATTAGTCATTTGTATCTTCTCTCTTGCTCTTTTTTTTCTGGCGGGGAGGGAGGGAGGACTCGTTACAGGTTTACCAACTTTTTGCTATTTTCAAAGAACCAGCTTTTGGTTGCATTGATTTTCGCTCTAAAAGCTCATGGGGTTTCCTGTTTCCTATTCCATTGATATCTGCTCTTATCTTTGTCATTTCCTTCCTTCTGCTTGCTTTAATTTGCTCTTCTTTTCCTGGTTTCTTAAAGTGAAAGCTTAGATTATTAATTTCAGACCTTTCTTTTTTTTTAATATAAACATTTAATGCTGTAAATTTCCTTCTAAGCAGTTCTTTAGCTGTGCCTCACAGATTTAGGCGATGTTGTATTTTCATTTTCATCAGTTCAAACTACTTCTAGACTTCTTCTTTGGTTCATAGGTTATTTAGAACGTGTTGTTTAATTTCCAAATATCTGGAGATTTTTCCAGAGGTATTTCTGTTATTGAATACTAGTTTAATTTTGAAATTGTCAAAGAACATATTTTGCAGGATTTCAATTGTTTTAAAATTATTAAGGTTTGTATTATGGCCCAGGATATGATCTTGATGAATATTTAACACTCTAAATCAATCAATAAAATAATATCAGTACACGTATAATTTAATATTTAAAGAAGTATTTTAATGCTAAGTGAAACTTACTTGTAATAAAGATCTCGAAAGAACACAAGGTGATTGTTCACTAAATTCACAGAAAAAATCCTAACAGATACATTGAGAGAAAAGGCAATATCATTAAAAGATAAAACAATAGTGGAGAGTGTTTGCATTTCAAATATAATTTTTACTAGGGCTCGGGAAATGATATCTTAACAGAGTTAAAATATGACAAATAGTTAAAGGTCATCTCTACAAGAATTGTCTAACTGTACCAAAAAGGGACAACGGAACCTAATTTTTCAGAGCCTAATTTTTTTTTAAACTGACGAATAATAGTATCTGTAGATACCAATATTAAATTTGGATACCATGAAAATAATAAGGCTATTATAATAGTTTACTATTTTCCACTGAGCCCTCTACTGCAGCCTAGGCACCCTCCTCAGCAGAGCACTCATCAATAACTCAGAGGCAGTATTTGAAACTGATATGCCATTCCAACTCCATCCAAGACAGAAAATATTACTGCTAGATCTGAGAATTTCCAGGTCTCTTTATTATGTAACATCACTAAAATTAGAAATAGGGGGAGGGGGAGGAGGGAGGGACAGAGAGTGGGGAACAGAAGAAAGTGGTGAGGACACGGGAGAAGAGGCGAGAGGGGAGACGCTTGTTAAAGGATCTTAATACTTAAGCCTCACCTATTTTATTTTTTAAATTTTATCATGGTAAAATATGTAACATAAACTTTGCCATTTTAGTTTAAGTGTACACTTTAGTGACATTAATTATACTCACAGGGGTCCCCAGGTGGCACAAACAGTTAATCGCTGAACAACCAAAAAGTTGGTTTGAACCCACCCAGAGGCACCCCAGAAGAAAGGCCTAGCAATCTGCTTCTGAAAACACACAGCCTTAATAATCCTATGGCGTGGAGCTCTACTCTGATGCACATGGGGTCACCATGAGTCGGAACTGACTGGACAGCAACTGGTTTTCACTGGTTATACTTAAAGACCTTACAATTAATGCGGGGAACACAAATATACACCAATGTAACAATTAAGGATCAAAAAGCAGATGCAGCAGAAAGAATAATAAAATCTCTGTTTTAGTTTCAGATAGGCCACTAACTAATCATCTAATCTGGTTACAACTCCTCTGAACCTTAGTTTGCTTAGCTGTAAAATTAACTGAATTATCTCTATTATCTTAAGGAGGAGGAAGTACACGACAAAGATTTACCTAAAAAGACGTTCATCCTAGTATTGTTTATAACAGTGAAACACAGAAAATAAATATAAGTAACTATGAACAAGGTGAAAAAACTATGGTATATGCTTACAATGGAATACCATGCAGCCGTTAAAATAATGTATAAATATGTGTATTTGTTGACATGAAAAGAAAGATGTTTATGATGTAAAAATTAGTGATTAAAAAAAAGCAGGTTACCAAACACTATGATCCCATTTTTGTATGAAAAATATTTATACACACACACACTCACACACTCTGTAAAAGACTAAAGACAGAATACAGGGTTTAAATCCTCATTCTTAAAACCTGGATGAGTTATCTAACCTCTCTAAGCTTTAATTTATTTCTTAGATAGTATAAACTTCTTTTGAAGACTAAATAGAATTTACACACACACACACACACACACACACACACACACACACACACACAGTAAAACCTGCTAAAGCCAAAACCTGTGTAAGGCAGAAACCTGTTAGAGAAGGAAAACTCAAATATTTTACACTAATACAGAGTAGCAGAGAAGTGGTAAGACTGTACCCTATCAAAGGTGGAAAACTTGTGAGATCCAGAAAAACAAGGCAGTCCCATCAACTGCTGGCTCTCACAGGTTTCATTGCATATATAAACCTGTTGCCATCAAGCTGATTCTGATTTATACTGACTCTACAGGACATACGGTTTCCAAGGCTGTAATCTTTATGGAAGCAGACTGTCACTTCTTTCTCCTGCAGAGCAGCTGGCGGGTTCAAACTGCAGACCCTTCAGTTAGCAGACACGTGCTTAACCACTATGCCACCAACGCTCCTCACATAAACATATGACACAGTGACTGGCTCTGAGCAAATATTCAATATACTCTGAACTTGGGTGATGGAATTAAGGATTACTTATTTTTTCTCTGCTATTTTGCTTAATTTTCAACAAGAGAACATGAACTACCCTGTAACTGTAAAATGTTTTTTTAAAAAACATGCCATGGATTGAAATGGCAGAAGTTTTGTTATATATACTTTACCATGATAAAAAAAAAAAAAAAAAATGTGATGAAGAATCTTAGTTTCCATTGTGAATGACAGGAAGTTGTTGAATCCAAAATTATTTTAAAATTTCTCCAGCAATTACAGAAATAGATATTTACCCTCAGGACAGCCAGTCTCTAAAAGGGATAAACTATTCTGTTACTAAATCAAAGGTTACATTCCAGAGTAGAGATCTGTACTTACCAGGATGCAATGTAAATTTGTTAAATTGACAACCTCACAGACAGTTTTTATTCTATCTATTAATCTTGCAAAATAGTTGACCATCTCTTCCCTTTTAATTATTTTTGCATATCGAGGGAAGGTGGGTGGAAGTAGCCTCTGGTTAACAAGAGGCTCAAAACCCATCATAATTGGATGATCTAAAAAGAAAAATATAAAACAAAACAGGTAAGATTTTCAATATTTCTCTGAATTTTAAACCTCAAATACTATTAAATATAAAAAGAAAAATGACAGTTTCAAAAGCATCTCCAAATTCTAATCATCATATCCTCTAAAACGATTTTATAATTTACTATTAATGTATCCATATACACATATATTTTTTAAATGACACAGGCAGATTTAATAACCTAAAATTGTACTTCCCACCTACATGTTGTAGGGGAGGGGGCGTTTCCTATCTGAAAATGAACTTCAAGCCAAAATGGGATGAAACAGCGTTAATATATTCACACAAAAAAGAAAGCAAGCTTCCTGAATCATTACATTGTAAAGAAAGGTAAAATAGAAACCCCAATAATGTAGGCTTCTCTTCCCCTCAATTATTAGAAGTGAACAGTAAAATCAATTCAAATTTAGCTATGTAATAACCAAAAACAGCAGAGAAGAGCAGTCCCTACTCCCCAGTGAGTCTGGAATACATTTGGTCCTGAGACGCAACTAAAGAAATCTATAATACTTTATACAGAAATAATATATTACAAGAGACCTAAGGGCAAGTCCCTGTTTCATACTCTCTGTAACCTGGTAATGTCCTCACTTTTCACACTAGTGCAAAGCTCCAAATTAACTGCTCAACTTGAACTCTAAACTAAGGAAGTATCCCCCTGAAAGGCAAAGTGATTAAGAATTTTGGATTCTAAGTTCTTCGGCTGGACCACAAACAGACTGCAATCTCAGATTAAATAAAAATAGTTTCACATGTCAATGAAAGATAAAATTAAAGCTGAGTAGGTGTCATCATTAAGAATTAAAAGCAAGACTACACTTAATGCTCCGGAGGCATACACCATAATGGCTCTTCAAAAACCAAAACCAAAACCAAAAACACACCTAGCTGCTGGCTAGTCGACTCCAGCGTGTAGCAGGCCTGTGTGTCAGAGCAGAACTGTGTGCCATAGGTTTCCTTTTTTTTTATTTTTTAATTTGATTTATTTTGCTGTTGTTGAGAATATACACAGCAAAACACACCAATTCAACAGTTTCTACACGTGTAATTCAGTGACACTGATTACACTCTTCAAGTTGTACAACCATTCTCACCCTCCTTTTCTGAGTTGTTCTTCCTCCATTAACATAAATTCACTGCCCCCTAAGGTTCCTATCTAATCTTTCCAGTTGTTGTCAATTTGATCCCACATACTTAGTTCTTAAAACAGCATAATGTTCAAGGCAGAACTTTTTTGACTTCAGGGATCTCGAGGGACATTTAGGTTAATTGGCATAACATAGTTCGTAAAGAATATGTTCTACACCCTAACATATGGGGTCTTAAAAGCTTGCAAGCAGCCATCTAAGATACATCTACTGGTCCCATCCTGTCTGGAGCAAAGGATAATGAAGAAAACCAAAGATACAAGGAAAATATTAGTCCAAAGGACTAACGGACCACATAAACGATAGCCTCCACCAGCCTGAGCCCAGAAGAACTAGATGGTGCCCAGCTACCACCACCAACCACCCTGACAGGGATCACAATAGAGGGTCCCGGACAGGCTGTGAGAAAAATACAGAAAAAAATTCAAATTAAAAAATAATAAAAAAAAAAAAGACCAGACTTACTGGTCTGACAGAGACTGGAGGATCCCCTGAGACTATACCCTGCTAACTCAGAACTGAAGCCACTCCCGAAGTTCACCTTTCTGCCAAACATTAGGCAGATCTATAAACCCTGATGGTGTAGTGATTGAGTCTGGCTGCCAACCGAAAGGTCAGCAGTTCGAATCTACCAGCTGCTCCTTGGAAACCCTGTGGGGCAGTTCTACTCTGTCCAACAGGATTGCTATGAGTCAGAATTAACTCGACGGCAGTGGTATAAAACAAACAATAACATATGTGAGGAACGTGCTTCTTAGTTCAATCAAGTATATGAGACAAAATTGGCAATACCTGCCCCAAAGCAAAAACGAGAAGGCAGGAAGGGACAGGGAAACTGGACGAACAGAAACACAGGGAACCTGGGCTGGAAAGGAAAAGGGAGAGAGTGCTGACAAAATGCAGAGATTGTAACCAATGTCACAAAACAATTCGTGTATAAATTTCTGAATGAGAAACTAATTTGCACTGTAAACTTTCACCTGAAGCATAATAACATTTCAAAAAAATTAAACAAAAAAAGAAGACTTCAGGGAATATTTTAGGTTTAAGGTTTAAAGATTATCTCAGGGCAATAGTTTCAGGGGTTCATCCAGCCTCCACGGCTCCAGAAAGTATGAAGTCCATGAGAGTTTTAAATTCTGTTCTGTATTTTCCCCCTTTTGATCAGGATTCTTCTTTATAATCTTTTATCAAAATGTTCAGTAATGGTAGCCAGGCACCATCCAGTTCTTCTGGTCTCAAGGCAAAGGAAACAGTTGTTCATGGAGGCAATTAGCCAGACATTCCATTTCCTCCTCCTATTCCTGACTCTACTTCTTCCTGTGTTGCTCCAGGTGAACAGAAACCATTTGCTGTGCTTTGGATGGCTACTTGCAAGCTTTTAAGACCCCAGGCACTAGCAATGAACTAGGAAGTAGAACAGAAGCACTAAACAGGTTATTAGGCCAGTTAACTGTGATGTCTCTCATGAAACCATGACCCTAAACCTCCAAACCAAGGAACCAAAACAAATCCCATGAGGTGTTTGGTTCGGTTGTACATAAGTAGCCTCAGCAGCTACTGTGTGTGTGTGTGTGTGCGTGCGTTTGTTACTACTGTAAATATGTCTATCACACAAATTTTGCCAGTTCAAATTTTACAGATATACAACTTATTTACAGCAATTGCAATAACTGGCTGTGCAATCCTACCCTTAATCAATGTGATTTCTCCATCACTGTAAACCAAAACTCAGTACTCCATAAGCAATAACCTCTCCTTTCTCCCCTCCTTCCTGCCACTGGTAACCACTAAGAAATTTTGGTTATTTGCCTCTTTTTGTCTTTTTATATAAGTGAGGTCACACAATACTTGTCCTTTTGTAACTGACTTATTTCATTCAGTATAATATCTTCAAGCTCCATCCATATTGTAGCATGCATCAAGATTTCATTTCTCCTACTGGCTGACTAGTATTCCATTGTACGTATGTACCACATTTTGTTTCTCCATTCATCTCCTACTGGCTGACTACTATTCCATTGTACGTATGTACCACATTTTGTTTCTCCATTCATCTGTTGATGGACATTTAGATTGTTTCCACCTTTTAGCTACTGTGAATAGTGCTGCGGTGTACAAGTCTCTTTTTTGAGTCTCTGCTTTCAAGTCTTTTGGGTATATACCTAGGAGTAGAATTGTTGGGTCATATGGTAGTTCTATTTTTAGATTTTTGCAGAACTGCCACACTGTTTTCCACAATGGCTATACCATTTTGTATTCCCACCAGCAATGGATAAGTGTTCCAATTTCCCCACATCCTCACCAACATTTTTTACTTTTTTTTTTTTTTAAATCTTAGCCATCCTAGTGGGAATAAAGTTGTATCTCACTGTGGTTTTGATTTGCATCTCTGTGATGGCTAATGACATTGAGCATCTTTTCATGTGTTTGGTGGCCATCTTAACGCCCTGTCTGGTGAAATGTCTATTTAAGTCCTTCGCCCATTTTACGACTGGGCTGTCTCTTTGTTGTTAAGTTGTCCCTAAGGTTTTCAATGACTGATTTTTCAGAAGCAGATGACAGGCCTTTCTTCCAAGGTGCCTCTGGGTGGACCTGAACCTCCAACCTTTCAGTTAGCAACCAACTGCTCAACTATCTACATTACCCAGGGACTCTAATGGTTCTTAAGGGTAACACAAATAAGCATGTCCCTCAAGGTTCTTGACCTTTTTCCTCTACTCTATACTTATACTCTCCCAGCTGAAGTTACACTTTGCGGTCTACTGAACTGCTTTTATATGGCCTTTCCCACAAAATGACTGGCTGGCACTATGCAAATTGAATGACTTATGGTCCACCAAGGGACTGGTCAGCTTACTATGCAAACTGAGTGATTTGTGGTCTCCTGAGGGGATTGCTAAGTTTGTGGTCCTGGTGGGAGGGCCATGACATGAAATCGAGAAGAAGTAGGCTGATATAAGGGCCAACTGCACAGAGGTTTAGGGAGACCTCACTACCATCCAGTAGAGTCTGGAGCGGAGCATGTCCTTTGGACAAAGGACCCAGAGTCCCTGCGCTGAGAACCTACTAGACCCAGAAGAGAGCTGGTAACACTTGCCCCTGCAGGGAAGAGGCTTGAAATGTACCCCATGCAGGCACTGCACGCCATCTCCACCCCTGCCGGGCAGCATGGCATCAAGGAAGCCCTGCAGGCTGAGGTAATGTGGCAGGAGCTGGCAGCAGAGGCCAGCAAGAGAGCAGCAGCTGAGCAGAAGCCTCAGGAGCCGTGCGGGCCCCCGAGTAGCACGGTGGTAGTCAGAGGCAGCAGTGACATGAAGGTAGCATCTGACACCTGACCTGAACTACGACATGCCTGCCCAGTGTCACAGGATGGACATGGGTAATCTGGGGAAGGGTAAGTGGTTGTCTTTTTGGTAGTCTATTGTTACTGTTTACTGTCTGCTTTCTATAAATAATAATAATGGCTTTCACTTTGCCACCACTGTGTGTCTCATGTGTCTGGCTCAATCACAGATGAACGTAGCACCCATGGAATGGCTGATGCCAGTGGGTGTACATGCCTCATTCCTAGCAGTTTTATGGCTGCCTGGAAATTTGAGGCACCGCCTGTCTGATACACAGACATGAACAGACATACTTAATCTTATAAATGTTCCAATTTAACTGATAATTCCCAGACTAGAACCTTAGCCAACGATCTTTCTTCTGAGTTCTAAACCTATTATTTCCAACTACTTGATGGACATTTCAATCTTGATATCCCTTATCAACTCAAAAGGCATGTGTTCCTAATTAGTAAAGAATGTGCCTTGAGTAT